GACTAGCTATGTGATGCTTACAAATAGCCAGTGGAAAGAACTTGAGCCATAGCCTACCACAGATCCAGGAAAATTGTACCAATGGTAATAAAGTAAACTGCAATCTATAAAAAATTATGTCCCCAATTATACTAAAACATCTTTCACAACACTGCAAGGTGGGCACAAGACATTAAATATTGGATGAAGACCACAAATAGCAAGACATTAAATATTGGATGAAGACCACAAATAGACTGACAAGCACTTCCATTCACAACAGTTTGATACTAAAAGGAAGATCATGCAATGGGTTTGATAACTTTGTGTGCTACATTTTATTTAGACTTGAACAAGGGGATGTATCTTCCACATTTATAATGTGAACCAATTTTAAACTTTTATTTCCTTCCAAGTCTTCTGTTTAGCATCAGATAATTCTAATAAATTATATTGCAATATTAACATCTCTAACTTCATATATAGTAAGCAAAACTTAGTTATCATGGTCCTTGTGTTTGCTAAAAAAAAAATCAAACAGCATAACTTGGGATGACCGGAAATATTTAAATCTTATTAAAAATGTTTGAGAGCCAGAAAAAAATAGAAGAGCCATATCATTAAGTTATGTTAAATACAAGAAATATAGATTATAATTTTTGAAACTTATTATAACCAAAAGAATTTTGCTAGTACTATAATTTGAAGGAAATAAGATGTTTATGCTCTCATTTTTTAGAAACAATAATGCCTATTTTATTTATTTAAAGCATGGCAGGCTGGAAGTTTTCCCTTTATTGCTAAAACTTTCCATGTTGATGTCAGCTTATTAAGAGTTCCCTTGGTACACAGCGAGAAGTATAACAATAGTGCTGAGCATGTAGTCAAAATGACCCCATTTTAAAAACATGCTTGAATGTAGTCTTCTTAAGCATTACCAACGTATTATCTCATTATTAAGTATTAACCAAATGAAGGCATTTCTGATAGCTGCTAAAGAGCTCTATAACCCTATCTAGACAAAGGTCAGCAACCTGTGGCTCTTTACAATTTTTAATCAACCCTATTTATTCTCCCAATCCAACCCTGCCTTAGGCTTCTTAAATATTTTCTTAGCTTAGCAGATACCATTTATAAAATGGCTCTTCACTCAAAAAAGTTGCCAACCCTTGGGCTACGTCAACTTAGTGGTTAAATTCTTAAATTTAAATCCTAATCTTCAAGTTAAAGTTTTAAAATAAATGTTGAAGGATAAAGCCAATCTATCTAGTCTAGTTCTAATATCAAAGTCTATATAAATAATATGTTTATGAATAATTACAGCTAGGCCTTAAATTTAAATAACTTGTCTTATATTATAGATTGAAGTATTTTAAGCCTACAATCTGGCACTGGCACATTTTGAGTTTTATAATTAATAATTTTACTAGCTGTGTTAGCTTGATAATTATTAATTTTCATAGGCCTAATCACTAATATAACTATTATAACTAGCTTATATTTATATTATATCATAAATTACTATAATTAAGTGACTTAAGTTTAAGTAAGTTGATTTGAGACCTGACTCCTGAGAGATTAAAATTTTGAATAAGATATGAAATTTGATATGTGACTGTTAGAGGAGTGATAATTTCAAATCATTGATTTTGGTCATAATTAAAATTTATTTTATATTATTTTAATTGTTAAGTTTTATTTGGCATTAACCCTTTATTTGGCCTAAAATTTAAAATAATGTGAATAAATAAAAATTTAACATTTTTAATGTGAAAAAAAAATTGAAATTGGTGAAAGTGTTCAAAAAGGCGGCTATCGTACTAACATAAATTGATAAAATTAAACAAAGACTACAATTCACTGTAACTTTTACGAGGCAAATCTAAAACTGAATCACAATCACAAAACTGTCAGCGCCAGTGGTGACACTGTGAGTGTGAGACTGTGACAGCAACAAGGAAATTCAGAATCAGAAACTGGTTTTAAAATACAACGATAAATTACAACCCAATTTTATTTTAAAAGCAGTGACATTGATAGTGTTAAAGAAAAGATTCTTACCTGTAAAAAAATCACAATATATGAATTTGGAGAAAGAGACTATATGTAAACAGCTAATCTAACGATCATCACTTGAATAATTGAATGTTTGGATAGAAAAACTTCCTTAACAGCCACTGTATTTCGAAGTAATTTCCCTTGTTCCAAACGGTACCGATTTTTGAAAGCTGGCCACTTTGTAACACGTGAAGTTAAATTTTTATTTTTGTATTTTATTTTTAACAATATTGATTTATTTTTTTAAAATTAAACAATTTTTAGTTGTTTAATAATAAATTATATTTTGTTGGTTTTTTTTAAAATATATTATCAACGTTCTATCAACTTCTAAGAAGCAATAGACACATTTGAATTTCGAAAGGCAAGAAGATCAAGAACTTAAAACTAATGAATGTATGTAACCAATATCAATTAATTAATGCAATGAATTACAAGAATAAGAAAATATTATTGAAGAGAAAATGCCCGTCAGTAGGGAAAACAGTGGCGTCACTAGGGGGTGTAGGAGTGCAGACGGCACCAGGTGACAACCCTCACAGGAGGGTGACACCAAATGCTAAATGCAAATTTAACAGATTCGCTCGAGTTGGTTTCACAACAGAACTCAGTTTAAATAGAAAAGGGTGCGACCAGAACAGGGTGAGAGCAGAGCAGGATGTCACAATGGCAGGGTGCCACAAGTATAGGGTGCCATCATAACAAGGAACCAACAGAGCAGGGTACCTCTAGAATTGGGTGCCGCCAGAGCAGAGTGTCATCAGAAAAGGGTGTCACCAGGGCAGGTTGAAGCCCGATCAGGATGCCACCACAACACATGCTATCAGAACAGGGATCTACAAGAACATGATTCCCCAAATTATGTGGCTACCAGTGGCCTATTATAGCAGGTAGAAGTTTTGATATTCATACCTTAATGGGACTTCCCAGAATCTCTTTCAAATCCTCACCCAACGCCTTAAATTATTTATCTCGATCTGTGTCTCTGTGGCAACATGTAAAAGGAACTTTTCAAAACTGAAACTTAAAGAAATACTGTTAGCGAACATTTTTCATTTTCTTACATTGAAAAGTTCAGTCTTTCTGGTATCTCTATTTGGTCAACTGAAAGTTATATGGTGAAGACTGTTGATTATGTTTAGGTTATTGATATGTTTGCTTCTTTAAAGACCAGGAAAGAAAAGTTTAGCTGTATAGCTTAATATACCAATTTTTTAAAAAAAACATATTTTAAAGGCTGGTAACTCGAATTCTAATGTTTTTCCTTGTTGCTTTATGAATTAATTTACAAGTAATATTTCAACTGTTTCTGTAAGATCTGGTTAAAAATTATTCGTTGCAGGGCTAGTTAGGTGTGAGTCCGGAAAAAGTGTGTGTGATGTGGAGTGGTGACACCATGAGTTTACCGCACATCGACCCTATTGATGCCTCCGTCGGAAATAGAAGAAACACAAGAAGTTAGGGACATGAACTCAATGGAGACAAGCAACGTTAAGCGGCAAGGAATGGGCAAACGTTTGCCGTATGCGTTACATACGTCAGCTTGACTTTCAAATACACACAATGCAAAAAACAATTAGACGTATCTGACGAAATTATCAGCCATCAAATACTTTTATGAAAGTAAATAACTTATATGTAACAGAACTCACCCAGCTATATCAGCAGTGCACCAGGAAACCAGACAGTGATGGTGTATGTGATGATACCAGCAACATATAATTAGAGAGCACTTTTTATATTTACAATAACTATCAAAAAAGTAATCATTGAAAATATTTGTTTTGTTGTTTTTTTTTTGTTTTTTTTTTCTATAACCTCACTTGCATAAGGTACCTCTGACAAATAATTATTTTATAGCATGAGGGTTATTAAAGTGGTGTTATCTAGCGCGGTACCCCAGCCTAGGCTAGGCTCACCGCGCTTCACATAAAAATTAGCAAAACGAAAAAAATGAAACATGACATTAAAAAAACAGTTTAGTAGGTAGCCTAATTTTAAGTCGGCATATCCATAGGCGTTTCGAGTAAGGCAAAAAACAAAAATTGTGGCCTTGAAAAGCTTCAGCATTGAGATTTAAAATAAACAGGGATAGCAGAGTGCGCAGATTATTGTGCATCATTTTAGCTTCTTTATTACAGGTATTGTAACTTACAAAATTTTAAAAAATAAAAACTTAATTTTTAAGTATACAAATTCTTTATCTTACTCGCTGATTATGCACTTCGATTCACGTGTGCCTTATCTTGCAACACCCCCGAGACGCATGTGCACATTCGTACTAAGTTTTGCTTCTTGATTTTGAACATGTATTCTTATATAAAGTGATCATGGGACTGGTGCCGGCCAACCCAGCAGGCACGTACCTCACCCCACAGAAGCCGGGTAGACTGATCAGAGCAAAACGCTCACTGAACACTGACTTCACCACTGATATTTCCATAAACAATTACACCAGAAACAATAGCAAATGCTTCAAAGTGCCTCAGTGCAACTCAGTGCAGTATCAACAATCTTTTTTCCCACGCACAATAATAGCATGGAACCACCTGAACGATGCCACTGTGAACTCGACATAGGTCGAAAGCTTCAAGGCTGCCCTGGCATCAGCTAGGGGCTGTTAGAATAGCAACATCATATCCCCAACCGTTGCAAAGATGCCAGTTCATGGATGCAGCAAAGAAACATTACCAGAACCAGAACCTGAATTAAAGCCAAACTGGCAAATATGTCTTTAAAAAAAATATAACCATTACTTCAGCAGGCTCAAAATATAACTTAAATAAGTATTTATATGCCAAAATAAATAAATTGTGTCTATTAACAAAATGAAATATTTTTAAAATTATTTTAGATTTTACGGTTCTAACTAATTGATAAGAAAATAATAAAACGATGTTCTTCTTTATACACTCCATGTTTTTATGTAACCACATTTTGTTTACATGGCGCTAAGCAGCGGCTATTGATTGGGTCAGCGCTACACTCACACAGTAACTGGTGCTGTTACTCCACTTGAATGGATTTAACGCAAAGACCGGTTAAAAACCGTGAATAACCTTTCACATTTGACTAAATCCAACATGTGTAATTCATTTTGGAGACATTTGGGGTGAATAATTTTCTTAATTTTACAAGTTACTTTTAACTTTTTACTACCATGAGTCTGACATGATTCGTCATGATTGAACAACTTTCATTTAAATTAACACTAACTCAGTAACTGGTAACTTCTTAATAAAAAAACACACTTTTTGTTCGTACCTATTATTATCAGTTAAATCTGATTTGAAGTCTTTTAATTTTAAGTTAGGTACTTTCTTAAACTTAAAGCTTGGATTTTACACCTAGTTAGAGTTTAAAGTAAATTAGTTAGCAGCAAACTGCTGCATGCTTCATACATTTTAGTTGTATAACTTATTAACCTATAAAAATTTAGAACTTACAGTCAGTTTGAGTTTACATTTTTATTGTTAATATAATAAAATAATTATAAGCCTAGTGCCTAGGTAGGCTATCCTATGCCACTATGCCTGCTAAAGTTTAAATATTAAATTATAAATAAAATTAAATCATAAACCACTTTTTAGGTTAAATATCATTAACTGATAAATAAGGCCTAAGTCGCATGCCATTTATTTAAAATGTCTAATTAGACCTAATTGGGCTTAGTTTGGCTAATCCTAGCCAAGGCCTATTTAAATATTTAGTTAAACTTAATCCTAAATAATTCTGTTGCTTGGCTTTCGTAACCTTTTTTTTTTTACATGGCCGAGTTGTAAACCCTGCACCCAACCATTTGGAGGGCTGCCCCCTACGGCTCTCTAGGTAGCTGCCTTAATTTTTGGGTAAGGTTCCCTAGCCTTTGTCAATCTCTCACTTCCTACAAGGTGGTAGGTTCTGATTTTGATCTGCCCCGTGTATTTTATTTTCCTGATACTCGCCATATCTGGTGGTCTTTCCCCTATCCGCCACATAGGGAGGCACTCAATGGATGATCAGTATCTCCGCACAAATTATAAATAAAATTAAATTATAATCCACTTTTTAGGTTAAATATCCTGAATTGATAGATAAGGCCTAAGTCACATGCCATTTATTTAAAATGTTTAATTACACTTATTGGGTTTAGTTTAGGCTAACCCTAGCCAAGGCCTGTAAAGCTTAATCCTAAGTAAGTTGCAATTAGGCTGGTTATGTTTGACTGTGACTAAAATTAGGAACTTCAGACTTTGGTATTGCCCAGGAAGCCCAGCGAATCTTTTTCTGGTATTGCAATTTTGTTATCAAAATGGAAACCTCCACTTTTTTATTTACAGAGGGTATCGTTGTTTCAGTATTTTTTGCCAGTTATAATAGCTTTACAAATAAATTATATTTCCAGCTATTATATTTATGTTTCACTCAGTCATTTCCTAAAATATGGGGGGAAGTCTTGATGGGTGTTGAAGTAGAATTATGTGTTAATAAATGATCTGGGCAATAAAGGAATTTTAGAATTGAGTTCATTTTCATCATTTGTAAACTTTATTGAGATTATATTGAGTATTTAAGTAATGCATTACCAAAAACAAAACTTATAACTTAAAATAAGTTTTGGAATAATATTATTTCCCTAGATTTTAGAAAAATATTTCTTAAACAGTGTTTCCCAACCTTTTCTTTAATCTGCACCCCTTCCCCACACACACACACACACACACACATTGTTTGACTAATTCTAGCAACACCTAATAAGTAACATTGCCTTATAAAATTGTGGAAAAAATGAACTAAAAAGATGACTGTCCAATCAGAAAATAATAAGTCACATTAGCCTACTACAAAATGAAATGAATAAATTTTAAAAAATAAATAAATAAATAAACATTTCCGCCAATGTCATAACTGAAAGTCATTGGCTTATATGTCTTTATAATCCCCCCCCCCCCCAAGTTCCTTCTTGCACCCCTTGGAATTCCAAGCACCCCATGTTAGGAACTCATTTTTAATACAAAGAAAATAATAAATCACATTAGCCTAATACAAAATGAAATGAATAAATTTTAAAAAATAAATAAATAAATAAACATTTCCGCCAATGTCCTAACTGAAAGTCATTGGCTTATATGTCTTTATAATCCCCCCCCCCCCAAGTTCCTTCTTGCACCCCTTGGAATTCCAAGCACCCCATGTTAGGAACTCATTTTTAATACATTAGTTAAAAATTGTATCATTTAAATATCTTTTTTTTAAAATAACACTTAAAGAAACAAATAATGTTGACAAACACTGGAATAAATTATCGTCCCACTAATTAGTAAAGTGTAATGTTGCAATCACACCATCACAATTTGCTCATTAGACAATACTTTTGTGTATTATTATATAAGGATTTCCTAACATTTCTGACCAGCTCCTTCAAGTTGATTGGAACATAAAGCTAACCTCTTGTCGTAAGTTGCTTGCAGTCATGCCGCTCATTAAAAGAGGTTGATTGTAATAGTGACCTGTAAGCTCAAGCAATCAGATCTCCACAGAAAATGGGCCATCAGTTTAATCTTTTTTAGAATATAGGCCTAATTCATTTTCATCATTTTTAGACTTTATTGAGATTATATGAGTATTAAAGTAATTTTTTTTTTAGGGTGGGTGGGGGCCTTTACATTTTTTGTGAAAATATTTTAATCTTTTATACACACTCTTTTAAGGAAATGTTTGGGAAAATGAAAGGTAAGCTACATATTTGATATTTGCACAGTGGTGGAGTTAAATATAGTTTTCTGTGGCAACTTTAGGATTACAGAAAGTCTGGCATATCTCGGTTTAAAGAAAATGGCTTCCCAAAGCCTTAAATCCTTTTCGCTGCCACGGTTCCTTTGTTCTCAGCGTTATTTGCAAGAAAGCAGATTTTTTCTTTAAAATCCAGCTAGTGACTAGGGTGCCGCTTCCCCACCCCACCTTCCCTTAGTCACTCTACCACAGCTGATGTGCTAGGGCTGATAAGGGAGGTTATTGAGTGGAAAGATCTTGCGTCTGTCTCCATAGATCCGTATTCGATTATCGAGTTGCAAACAATAAAATCAATCAGAATTCAAAGCATCGATTGAAATCGATTGGAAACTTTAAAAAAAATATATTTTTGTTCAAGCAACCTACGATATTTATTTGTCATGGTTTCTCCGGGTCTTTGTCGTGGCGTCTCCACCTTTGCGAGTTTTTTTTCCTCATTGTTGAGATATTTTCTTTAAACCTTCAACGTACAAGAATCTGCCTCTGTTAAGTTCTAACCAGCATGTGCGATTAGTGGAAAATGAAGTTCAAGACATTTTGATCACATACAGTCGACCTCCTTTCGTTTGTTTTTGTTTTGTTTCTTCTGTTTTCTTTTCCGTTTCTTTGCTGCTCCCCGTGGTGTGCGCACGCCCAGTTCAGGCGTGTGACGGGAAACAGAAATCACGGGTGGTAACTCAGGGGGGGGGGGTAGCCGTCACTGTTGTGGATGCACTCTCGGTTCTTTATGGATTTGGTTGGTGTTCATGTTTGGATAACCGCCATCTGATGTAACTGATCCGCAGTGACCACCTATGTCATTGTCGGTGACCGATTGTCACTGTCAATCATCTCGATATTGAATTATTCAAATTATGGCACTCGGGTTTTGTGTTTTGAGGTGTCCAGATTTGATTATGAACGCCGGTGCATAGATTAGTGAGACTGGGCCTTGTCAATCGGTAATTAGGGCTGCATAGTTCAGAAAAGGGGGGGGGGGATGTACATCCATTGAATCATACGAATTAAGCATAAGATATCCTGACATATTTTATATTATTGCTCTACATTAAAATAAATTACGTATTTAGGCCTAAAATACCACATGCTCGCCTCATGCGCTAACCCATAGAACATCATTTCGCTGATAAACTCTCCAACCCATTGTCATCTTCTCATCCGCTAACCCACAGTGCATCATTTCACTGCTATACTCTCCAACCCATTGCCTTATTGCCTGCATTTCACCGCTTCAATAGGTGTTCACTACTGTTCACCAATCGAGTCATAGCGTTTGTGATGGTAACCATGATAATGGGACACGCGTTCGTGTAATCACGTTTTGTCACCTGTATTGGACATGACTTTATTTGAATAGGTTAGTGTAAAGAGGCAGACAGATCGATTCAAATCGGCCCGTTGTAGCTTTTCTCTCCAGTATGGCTAAATTATGATCTTTCGGTTAATTGGCTTGTTTTTTTTCTTTGTTGTTGTTTTTTTTTTTAATGTTTTTTTAGTGCTATGGGAAATGGTAAGAAAACAATGCCAGAGAAGACTTCGCCAAGATTTGAGACAAACGGTGTGAAACAATCAGGGGCCTGGCACCCAACTAAATCTCATAAAGTAACTCATCATTTACCCATAGTATGATGAGATAACCGAAAATAAAATGCTCCTCTGACGTCCTGGTATTCCTTGGCATGCAACACCGTATGCATCAAATCCATTGGTCCACCAATTTCTTGTGGTTTCCCCATTGGTCCATCAATTTCTTGTGGATTCCCATTGGTCAAACCATCTTGTGTTTTCCATTGGTCAAACCATCTTGTGTTTTTCATTGGTCAAAGCATCTTGTGTTTTCCATTGGTCAAAACATCTGGTGTTGTTCATTGGTCAAAACATCTTGTGTTGTCCATTGGGCAAAACATCTTGTGTTGTCCATTGGTCTTACAGTCACCTCGGGTGTTGGTGGTCCTTTGATTTGATTAAAGTGAGGGGGCTGGGGGTGGATTATTGACCCCATTAGTATGTTAATATTAATTTTATTTGTATAGTTTGTATATTTAACAGTGGGACAGCCCCTGCCCCCCCCCATAACTCCCGCAGTTATAACTCTTAAGTGGCACCCTACGTATAGTGTGACATTTTAAAATGTTTTCTTTGCCTCCTTGGAGTTAAACCGCACTTCACACTTGAGCTGCCCAACCGTTCGATCATAATTACGGATAGCTGAAATCCGTTCAATCGATCCTATTTTTAAAAAATTAACGACAGATTCGGAGAGAAACATATCGACTTCGGACCGTCCGTCCAAACGCGCCCTCCCTCCCTTTTTTAATTTAATTGCCCACCTTCCCTACCTTTCCCGCCCATAATAATGATTTTGGTCTCTTCGATCTTACCCTGGAGTTTGAGGTTTTTCTTTTCAATTCAGTGTTGTCCACTATTTTGTGTACGACAGTTCGATGATTTGAATGCGACCAGACAATACGCATGTGCGCCATTATTATTACAATTGTAGGCTCTGGTGGAATTATCCTGTATCCGGAACACACACCCCTCCCCTCCCCCCACCTCCAACCCCAAACTAGTTCCCATCCCGTGTCAGAAAATGGATTAGGGCCTAGGAATTTGGGGGATTTGTTGCTGAATCTGTGTCGGCAATACCTTTGTGGTGCATCAGTCATCAACATCAGTACAATGCGCTTTCGTTTCTTGATCTCTGGGACAATTTATGATGTCTGTGATTCAAAAATCAAGATATTCTTAATAAACTAGTCAGTTATAGACTTCTTTATTTTGAGATCCTCGTTTTCCAATCATCAGTTTAGCTCCATGACTTAAATTGTTTTTGTTAGGTCTCTGATTGGGTCTTATGTCTCTGATTGTGTCTTATGTCTCTGATTGGGTCTTACGTCTCTGATTGGATCTTATGACTCTGATTGGATCTTATGACTCTGATTGGATCTTATGACTCTGATTGGGTCTTATGACTCTGATTGGGTCTTATGACTCTGATTGGGTCTTATGACTCTTGGATCTTATGACTCTGATTGGATCTTATGAATCTGATTGGGTCTTATGTCTCTGATTGGGTCTTATGACTCTGATTGGGTCTTATGACTGATTGGGTCTTATGTCTCTGATGGGATCTTATGAATCTAATTGGGTCTTATGTCTCTGATTGGGTCTTATGACTCTCATTGGATATTATGAATCTGATTGGGTCTTCACTTAATGTATAGAAAAATTGCCACCATTGGTTGACCGCCCACAATTCCTACGCTATGGAAAAAAAAAGGGGGGGGGAGGGGGATATGTCGTCCAATCAGGACTTTGTCGATGGATGGACTTTTTAATTATGTATGTCAGGGGACCACATTTTTGTTGCATGCTTCTTAATAATTTAGTTGGGTCACATGTGTCGACACGTGATCGGAGACATAGTGGAAGGTGTGGCAATCTTGTAGTGGTGCAGGGATTCCTCTCCATTTCAAAACCATGTCTGAACACCCCCCCCCCCCACTTTTTTTTTGTCCACCACCACGGATAAAGAGTAGTTTAATAAAACTTCTTAATAATTTAGTTGGGTCACATGTGTCGACACGTGATCGGAGAAATAGTGGAAGGTGTGGCAATCTTGTAGTGGTGCAGGGATTCCTCTCCATTTCAAAACCATGTCTGAACACCCCCCCCCCCACTTTTTTTTTGTCCACCACCACGGATAAAGAGTAGTTTAATAAAATAAATAAACATGACAATAATTCCATTATGTTAGCTCTACTTCTTTAATTCACTTGCTATAATCCAACAATCGTTGCCAATGCAGTACAAAATATGTTCAAACAAAACTCACCACAAAAATACATGTGTTGTTGGGAACCACCCATTTAGTACATATGCAAAAAAGTCTAATTTTAACCCACCCCTCCCCCCACAGTTTTTTTTGCCGCACGAGTACTTGTTAGAGCCCCCCCCCCCTTTTTTTTTTCCCGCACCATTATTTTTTAGACCCCCCCCCCCCTTTTTTTTTTCCCTTTTCCGCCAATGCAGATGTACAAGAAGCTTTCGACACACTCCCCCCAAAAAAAAACCAACAACCAAATAACAAAAATTATTGATATTGTGACGTCACAGAATAAAAATGTGATGGGTTTACACTGCGGACTGTTTGGCCAGTCCAGTGGTTCTCATAATTTGCGTCTCTCTGGGTACCACACTGCCCTCGGGCAGAGCCTTAGAATGGGGCAAATAGGGTGGTCACACGGGGCGCCAAAATCGTCTTGAGTTCATTTGTGAAAACACGTTGCATCTTTATGACGATAATTCCTACAAAGCATTGCGGGATATTTTTACAGCACTCGAGATATAAATAGGCTTTATTTGGACTGACCAAATTTCAGGATGATTATTGTAGAAGTTTTGAATAAATGTACGCACTTTCTTCCGAGTTCCCCCCCCCAACCACGCGTACACAAAATCTCCAAAATCCACACCCACTCACTCCTCAGTGCCTACCTATTAAACGGATTGCCCCATGCTACCTATTAAATGGATTGCCACTTGCCACCTATTAAATGGATGGCCACTTGCCACCTATTAAATGGATGACCCCTTGCCACCTATTAAATGGAGGGCCCATTGCCACCTATTAAATAGATGGCCCCTTGCTACCTATTAAATGGATGGCCCCTTGCCACATATTAAATGGATGGCCCATTGCTACCTATTAAATAGATGGCCCCTTGCTACCTATTAAATGGATGGCCCCTTGCCACATATTAAATGGATGGCCCCTTGCCACCTATTAAATGGAGGGCCCCTTGCCACCTATTAAATGGAGAGCCCATTGCTACCTATTAAATAGATGGCCCCTTGCTACCTATTAAATGGATGGCCCCTTGCCACCTATTAAATAGATGGCCCCTTGCTACCTATTAAATGGATGGCCCCTTGCCACCTATTAAATGGATGGCCCATTGCTACCTATTAAATAGATGGCCCCTTGCTACCTATTAAATGGATGGCCCCTTGCCACATATTAAATGGATGGCCCCTTGCCACCTATTAAATGGAGGGCCCCTTGCAACCTATTAAATGGAGAGCCCATTGCTACCTATTAAATAGATGGCCCCTTGCTACCTATTAAATGGATGGCCCCTTGCCACATATTAAATGGATGGCCCCTTGCCACCTATTAAATGGAGGGCCCCTTGCTACCTATTAAATGGATGGCCCATTGCCACCTATTAAATGGATGGCCCCTTGCTACCTATTAAATGGATGGCCCATTGCTACCTATTAAATAGATGGCCCCTTGCTACCTATTAAATGGATGGCCCCTTGCCACATATTAAATGGATGGCCCATTGCTACCTATTAAATGGATGGCCCATTGCCACCTATTAAATGGATGGCCCCTTGCTACCTATTAAATGGATGGCCCATTGCTACCTATTAAATGGAGGGCCCCTTGCTACCTATTAAATGGATGGCCCCTTGCCACATATTAAATGGATGGCCCCTTGCTAATTAAAATAAATGCAAATAAACCTGCTTTCGTCCCCCTACAACTGACGAGCATAGAGGAAGGTTGTAACAACTCAAAATTTGAATTCTGTACGTTATGTTATTTTGTAAAAAATAACACAATTGAAATTAAGCTAACGTGACATATATGCATAACATTTCATCTGATGAAGCCCAAACTGATTTTTTCTTTCAGTGGTGGTTTATTTTTGACATAATGTGATTTCTTATTAAATTTGTTTTTTTTGTTGTTGTTGTTTTTTTTTTAAATTATTTGTGTCGCCTTTCTGCTTTTTAAGTTTCTAAATCTTCATCGGACACCACCCCCCTCTCCCCCAAGGGGGGGGGTACTGCCCCGCGAACCGCTGGTCAAGATCAACGTTTTTTTTTTTTGTTTTTTTTTGTTTTTTTTGTGTGTAGATCTGGCCAATTGTGCATCACCAGAGGGTATTACGTTGTCTATTGACACAGGCCGGCCCCATAAGATCTGCGTTATTTAAATGGTAGACTATAAATAAATGCCTTCAAAGGCTACACGCTGCCTACGTCATTCATTGTTATAGTAAACCCGGGTGTGCCACCCAGTGTTATATTCTCGTCTCGTGTACTGTAGCAGGCAGGGCCTGTAAGACTTGAAAGACGTGGTTTTATTTAGCTCTGATCATAAATTCTTAACTCAATGTGCGGGCTAACCGTGGCTTGGGTGGGTGTGGGGCGTGGGGGGGGGTGGGGGGTGGCGTGGGTGTTGATTGAAATACAACCACCAACGTTTAGTAATCATTTCAAAATCTACTTTTGTCATCGATCTTTTAGTGTGGCCAGGAAGTTGGCACTGGCTGGTCAAATCCCAGAACAAAACACAAAGGAACTCACTAAAAGGCGAATATTGGGGTCCTCATTAAATCACATCACGTTAACAGTGCTTCTCGCGTTATTGCCGGGTGTTCTATACCAGGGTTCACATCACGTTAACAGTGCTGTCGCGTTATTGCATGGTGTTCTATACCAGGGTTCACATCACGTTAACAGTGCTGTCGCGTTATTGCTTGGTGTTCTATACCAGGGTTCACATCACGTTAACAGTGCTGTCGCGTTATTGCATGGTGCTCTATACCAGTCACATCACGTTAACAGTGCTGTCGCGTGATTTCGGGGTGTTCTGTACAAGGGTTCCGCTGTACCCAGGCTTTGTTTTCCCGCCTTATTTTATGAGTCTGTATGGCAGTGTATGAAATAGTGCTCCCATGTATGTTTAATATGTGTGTAAACGTATGTGATTGTGTGTGAGCCAAATCACACGTGGTCAGTAAGCCGAAAAATGTTAATTATCATGATTGTGTAAATCCTAGTGGTGCCTGGGCCAAATGGGAAATATCATGATTATTTCAATCCTAGTGGTGCATGGGACAGATTCATTCCGTGTATCTCTGTTCTGAACTTTTCTTTCCACTTCTTGTCCTTCTCTCTCTCTCTCTCTCTCTCTCTCTCTCTCTCTCTCTCTCTCTCTCTCTCTCCCCCTCTCTCTCCCCCTCCCTCCCTCTCTCTCTCTCTCTCTCTCCCCCTCCCCCCCCTCTCTCTCTCTCTCTCTCTCTCTCTCTCTCTCTCTCTCTCTCTCTCTCTCTCTCCCCCTCTCTCTCTCCCTCCCTCCCTCTCTCTTTCTCTCTCTCTCTCCCTCCCTCCCCTCTCTCTCTCTCTCTCTCTCTCTCTCTCTCTCTCTCTCTCCTTGTCGAGGTGACGTGACCTTTCTCCACCTGCCCCCCACAATTTCCCTCACTCTATTATCACGTGGATCCTACACCAGACATTTTTCGTCGTTCATATACTGACCAACTCAGCTGACCTTGTACTTAAGATTTCTATTGTTCATCCCAGCTGTCATCAAAAGACGACAATTTCTAAAAATACTCCTTGTGTTGATTACATTAAAAGGAAAAACCTTACGCCTTGTGTTGTTTCCCCTACTGTTTCTTCTCTCCCCTTAATTCTACAGTTTCTTGTGAATGGAGTCGCCCGTCACCCTCATAGACTTTGCTCATAAAACCCTTGCCCATCTACTACTCGTCCCTTGACCATCTACCACTCGCCCCTTGACCATCTACCACTCGCCCCTTGACCATCTACCACTCGCCCCTTTCCCATCTACCACTCGCCCCTTGCCTATCTACCACTCGCCCCTTGACCATCTACTACTCGTCCCTTACCCTCAACCAATCCCCCCTTTAGATTGCCACTTTCCCCTATCGTCCTCCCCATAATCACCCCCCCCCCCTCTTCACCTCATGATCTGGGCTTACAGCAATTTTCATTCCTACTCCTCTATTCTATATAATATGTGATTTCATATCCTTGGGTTAAGTCAATCCCATCTGCCCCGTCCCCCACAGTTGTGTAAAGTTTGCCGTATATCGTTTTGGGTTTTTCTGGGTGAAGAGTGGGAGACTCACTGTCCAAGAGTGGCAGACTCACTGTCCAAGAGTGGCAGACTCACTGTCCAAGAGTGGCAGACTCACTGTCCAAGAGTGACAGACTCACTGTCCAAGAGTGGCAGACTCACTGTCCAAGAGTGGCAGACTCACTGTCCAAGAGTGGCAGACTCACTGTCCAAGAGTGGCAGACTCACTGTCCAAGAGTGGCAGACTCACTGTCCAAGAGTGGCAGACTCACTGTCCGAGAGTGGCAGACTCACTGTCCGAGAGTGGCAGACTCACTGTCCGAGAGTGGCAGACTCACTGTCCGAGAGTGGCAGACTCACTGTCCGAGAGTGGCAGACTCACTGTCCTAGAGTGGCAGACTCAGTGTCCGCCTGGGACATAACAAACTCGAGCTACCGGTACTTAAGTTATGCAGACAGTTTTTTTTTCTCCATCTTACTTTTTCAACTGACACCAGATCTAGGGCACATGGGAATCGTTTGGATTGTGTCGATCCGCTGACTTTTCAATGATTTATTTTATTCACAGTATGAAAGTTGGTGGTGGTGGAAAAGGGGGCGGGGGGGGGTGCTAATGCCCTGGATGTGCGAACTTTTACGCTGAATATTTAAACGCTTCTGGGTATATTATTTGAAACATGTGGGTATACCGGAAACAGTAGAACTACCTCTTCTCGTTTTTAATTCGAAAAGAATCACGCCCACCCACCCTCACCCTTTTTTCAAATGATATATGTAGGAGTCAAACTCCTAAATTCGGGTTTGTGGTGTGTGTGTGTGTGGGGGGAGGGATGTCAGTGACGCTAAATATTACACCAACTCCAGCGCTGAGATTTGAAATTCTGCCCCCCCCCCCCCCCCCCCAGCGTAATTTTGAGAATCACCGCGCCAGGTTGTAACGTTGGACCATAAATAAAACAGTTTCAAAGTCTCCCTAGGCACAAGGGGGACATCAATGACTTTCTGCAGGCGAACGCGGCTTTAACTGTATCGATCAGCGACCGTGAATTCATTTGTGGGATTTTCCGCCGACTGTTGCTGTCATCCAACATTGCGAACCCGTAAAGCGATCGTCCTTCTATGCAACTCTGACATACTGCTTTTTTTTTTTTAGTGGGAACCTCCGAATATCTAGAGCAATGATGTGTGTCGACTTCTTGATACTGCGCGAACCTCTGTGAAAGGTCAAGCATTAAAAATATACTTTCCTATTAATGCACTGAACAAAGTAGGGGGCATGTCAGATCATTACAACGAATTGTTTGTAAACAAATATTATCATGACGGACATTCATTTAGACTTTTCAACACACAGGACACAACACACAGCACACAACACACAGGACACAGCACACAGCACACAACACACAGGACACATCACACAACACACAGCACAAAACACACAGCACACAACACACAGCACACACCCCGAGAATAAACCAGTATTTTAAATATATATTTTTTCAACAGGCTTGTCTAAAATTGTGTTAGAAAGTGTCACATAAATGTCTCCCGAAACTTCCCAGTTTTTACAGTCACATGACTTCCGAGTTGTTACAGTCACATGACTTTTTAAAAAAAACGTGGGTCCCTCGTGAAATACAGTGATGACGTATGACTTGACAAATACAATGTTGTCATATGACTTGACAAATACAATGTTGTCATATGTCTTGACAAATACAATGTTGTCATATGACTTGACAAATACAATGTTGTCATATGACTTGACAAATACAATGTTGTCATATGACTTGACAAATACAATGTTGTCATATGACTTGACAAATACACTGTTGTCATATGACTTGACAAATACACTGTTGTCATATGACTTGACAAATACACTGTTGTCATATGACTTGACAAATACACTGTTGTCATATGACTTGACAAATACAATTTTGTCATATGACTTGACAAATACAATGTTGTCATATGACTTGACAAATACAATGTTGTCATATGACTTGACAAATACAATGTTGTCATATGACTTGACAAATACAATGTTGTCATATGACTTGACAAATACAATGTTGTCATATGACTTGACAAATACAATGTTGTCATATGACTTGACAAATACAATGTTGTCATATGACTTGACAAATACAATGTTGTCATATGACTTGACAAATACACTGTTGTCATATGACTTGACAAATACACTGTTGTCATATGACTTGACAAATACAATGTTGTCATATGACTTGACAAATACAATGTTGTCATATGACTTGACAAATACAATTTTGTCATATGACTTGACAAATACAATGTTGTCATATGACTTGACAAAGACAATGCTGTGATATGACTTGACAAATACAATGTTGTCATATGTTTACTTTCGCGTTGCTTCCAGAAAGCGAAAGTGTTGTGTGACAGTCCCACTGTGTGACACAATAGTGCTACAGGTTATTTAATCATGAAAATGTGAGTTCTCACAACTTCCTTCCACTCCTGCTGTATGCTTCCATGGATTGCGATCTTGACAAGTAGAATGAAATTAGCGATACCATTGCGTGCAAGTCTTTGTTATTTCCAAAAGAACATTGATCTCATGCCCTCTTCCCCCACGCTGTTGTGGTCAAATCACAGTGTTGGGGGGGGGGGCATTTATTTCAAACTTGTTAACACATTGGGAGAGCGTGCTTTTTAAAAAGTATTGTTATCTTGTTTCATTGTGTACTTTGAGTCAAGAATGTGTCCATAGAAAGTAGGCATGTGTGTGAAAAATTTCGTCCTAGAAGTTTTTTCTGGCTCAATAGGACATCAGGAAGTAGATGAAATCGGAATAGAGGTGAAAGGTCAGAGGTGACCTTTCTGTGCGCGTGTGTCGGGGGGGGGGAATTGTTGTCATTGTTGATTTTGTCGGGAGCGAGTAACCATGCACAAGGAAACGCTGTAGTGGGTACCCCGATGTCCCTATAACTTTCCGTTCCTGGGGTATCCAAAGAGGTCACCCATGGGTCAGTGGAGGTCACGGGTGACCTACTGACCATGAAGAATCGTATTGCCATCGGAGGGGGAGGGGGCGGGTTAAGTGTACAAAGTTTCAACTCAGTTTCATATCAGGATGTGGGTTAAAATTGAGATTCAAGATTTGACCCGCAGAGATCACTCAATGGTCAGTGGATGTCATTTGGTGACCTACTGGTCATAAAGTGTTGTAGTTTTATGGCGGGGGTGGGGGTGGAAGGGGGCGGGGCAAGAGTACAAGGTTTCAGTTCAATCAGAGACGATTCTTTTAATTTTAAAAATCTATATATATATATATAATTCGACAGCAAAGGTCAAATAACACCACGCAGGCTATATATAGATACGCCAGAGTGTGGTTCAATAATGAGTACACTAGCGCGCAAAATATAATTCCCGATAACTGCGCTAAATGATATATATCTATTTTTAATAACGCAATTGCATTTGGTGCGTAATATTTTCTTTTCGTATTTAACTATTGTGTCAAAAATATTCGATTTAAAAGTGCGTGGGACATGAGACTATTAATATAGTTCATGAGCCTGAAATAAAAAGTGTGCAGTTACCATGGGCAATCGCAGAAAACTTTCTAGGGGGGGGGGGGGAGGCAAAAATATCGATTAACTTTCCAGGGGGGGGGGAGCAAAAAATTTTTAGTAATGTTTTAATATAGTTTTAATTTACTGTAGCGTATTTGTATGGTAAACGAACGGACAGGACATCAGCTTAGTTACTTTCTCTTTATTTTCTCTTTACTTTGATACATTTTTTGTCTATTTTTGTCTAAATTTTTTGTATCCAATCAATCCAGGGGGGGGGGGCATGTGCCCCAACTTGCCCCTACCTGCGGGCGCCCATGGCGGTAGCAAAATTGGCATTCTTAAATGTGAGTAACTTGAGTTCACGTAGATACATTTTTTGTCTATTTTTGTCTAAATTTTTTGTATCCAATCAATCCAGGGGGGGGGGGGCATGTGCCCCAACTTGCCCCTACCTGCGGGCGCCCATGGCGGTAGCAAAATTGGCATTCTTAAATGTGCGTAACTTGAGTTCACGTTTTTGTCAAGTAACTTTAGTACATGGGAAGTTCACGCATTGCTACCGCCAATGTTTGGTGGGCTATATCTAGTTCTTTATATTAACTTCTTTTTTGTTTGCGGCTGGCTGCAAGACCTTCGGACGACCTAATTGACCCACTTCCCGTCAACGGATCGAGCTGAAACTTGGCACATAGACTCGTTACCGATGGCAACACATTCTGTCAAATTTTCAGCTCCATCCCCAACCCCCAAAATCATGTCTGTTTCCATTTTTTTAAGGGGAAGATGAAGGAAATGTGATGACACTAATTTCAAGCAATAAAATTCCTAATAACTGCGCTAAATGAGATTCTTTTTTTTTTTCCTTTTTTTTTTTTAAATATCGCAAGTGCGTTTGCTGCGTAATATTTTCTTTTGTTTTTCTGAAATAGTTGTTGAAATAAATCTGCGAGTGGGTCATCAGAATATTAATATAGTTCAGGGGGAAGGAAAAAATTGTGTTGGGTGGGGGTGGAGCACTAATTGGGATTCTCTTAAAGTGCATTACTTGAATGCATGTTTTGTTTGGGGTCCTTGAAACTTTGCTCCAAGGACCCTTGCTATAAATATGATTACTTTCAATATTTTCAATGTAAGTTTATCACGGGGCTCTGGGAGGGGGGGGGGTTGTTTCCACGGGCTGCAATCACACTGCCAATCTGGTATGATCATATTATGTTTCATGCTAAAAGGCATATCAAGAAGAAGCCTGTTCATATCTGAAATTCTTGCAGTAGATGCTTAGAATGAAGGTTGAAAAAAAAAATGAAGGAAAAAAAACAACAAGATAATAACAATTATCGAAACCTTAAAATGTCTCCGCAGTGGAAGCTGCCTGACTTGAATCAACAAACCTTTAAACTGAGTATTTTATTTTTATTGCAGCTTCGCCCAGGTGTGATGGGCAGTGGGGCATCGAAGAAAGATTCACCACCACAAACATCCAGTAACCCAGGCACAGCGAGGAGAGCGCAAGGAACATCAAACAGGGGAGGAAACTTTCAGGAAGTCCAGGTCCAGGCCCCCGGCCAGGGGAGGTCAGGGAATATGAGTTCCCGTACCCCACAGCGTAAGTCTGTACCCTCTGCGACTCGACCCATTCAGCATGTGTGTTTGCTGTTTTGTGAATGTTCAGGAAATTAATTTCTTGTTTTAAGACGTGTTTTGGGGATGACATATTACTGTGTCAGTGGCGGCTTTAGTTATGATGTGACTTTCATTTTAAATTAAACAGAAGTAATTTCATTCCCACTCTTGTTGTGGTGTACTAAGTTTGCTAGAATGCAACCCAAGCAGAAGCCGTGCCTTCAATTCATGCTTGAAAATTTTAAATACCGCCTCCCTATGTTCCTTGAACTTTCCCAAAAAATAACATTCAACTTTTTCTACACCTCCCATGACTAATGTCTAAGGCATCAAAACATTACCTAACCATATCTGATGCCTTTTTATAGAGATCTCTTATTTTGTATAACCATATCTGATGCCTTTTTAAAGAGATCTCTTATTTTGTCTTACCATATCTGATGCTTTTTTAAAGAGATCTCTTATTTTGCCCAACCATATCCGATTTTGCCTAACAATATCTGATGTCTTTTTATAGAGATCTCATATTTTGCTTACCCAAATCCGATGTCCTACTATAGAGACTCCTTTTTTATTTCCACAGATAAGTACTTTCTTAAAATCTAGTCAGATATTAACCTTTTATTTAATTAAATATTTTTTCCCCTCTCAGCTTCAAGGGAGGCTCGGTCACGTGATGAAGGTAACAGAAACCGATACGCTCGCCATGCGACGAACCACAGCAACTCCTTACAACATGGCCAGGCGGCTGCTGCAACCTCTCGTGATGGCCAGCGACGTAGCGCCCCTTTGGTAATTTAAAAAATAATATTTTCTTTATTGCTTCAGCTGACCTCAGACCACCTATTTTATAAAGATTAATAATTTTTCTTACACTAAAATTCAAACTGTATTCCTTATTTTATCCTTCCTAAATTCACTATTTCAATTATCTCTATTTAATGCTGCTCTGTAAAAAAAAAAAAATGAAAGGATGATAAGTCCAATCTGCCGGCAAAAGATGTGGCGTCATCATCAAAGGTAACTGGAAAGCGTTCTATCTTTATTTTTATTTTTCAAATGTCTTTTGGTGGATTTTTAAAACTTAGCTTACATCAAAGTTTTTAAACAATCTACTGGTTTTCATTACACTTATTTTGTGTTTATCTCTAAACATAACACCATGAAGTAGCTTTTCCATACATTTGTCAATTTTCTTTTCCTGACTATTCCAATTTAATAAATTTTTTCCACACTTTTTCTTTCTCCTTTTTGTCTCTTCTAATCAAAAACTTCTTTAGGCAAGCCTTTTTTAAAAAAAAAAAAATTCTTCTTAGTATTCAAAACTTAATATTATAAATATTTCAAAATGTAATGATTGAGCAGAGAATTTCATCTTTGAATCTTAGGATATAATTACGAAACAAATTTATATGAATGTATATTTTATGACTATAGCAACTTTCCATGACATCACTCCTATCCTAGAAGTAGAATTTCACTGGTTTCTCCTGTTATTTTTTACTCTAGTACTGTGTTGTAGCCTAAGGTATGGAAAGTGACTTCCAATAGCGAAATGATTGTTTAAAATTCAAAATAATTTTGTGTGTGATTTCATCTATGGCATTATTTGAACTAAAAGGAAAATATCCTACTCATCAGCTGATTGCTATGCTAAGGAAAGGTTTGGTCGAAATATTGGACCAGGCACAGTGGGACCCAAAATGACGATGCCCAGGGTGGGCACTTGACTTGTGGTCATTGCTTTTGTTGTGGGAATCATGTAAAAATCACTTACCGTAGTCCAACCCTTATGGTCAGTTGCTGTGTTTTGTCTGGAAGGGGCATTCAAGTGAAGTTTAAAAAGTTTGTTCACATGCACGCTTTTTTGAAAATTGGATAGTCTTGTTGGAATCTCTACAGAAAAATGTGGCTGCATACATTTGATTTTTATCTCTCTATTCCAACTAGTTATCTCAATGTTATACATAGTTATAGTTATTGTTGTTTTGTTTCTAATTAAGAACACGTTTATATTTTTTAAAGCAATTAAGGATTATCAGAAATAAACCACCATGTGATTTGTTGCTTTTTTGTTCCTACAGGTAAACATATTTTGTAGGCAAGTAGTTTGAATGAACTAAGCGCTACATAAAAATATAAACACGCAAAATTAAGGTTTAATCCCTCAAAATTATTACAATGTTTTGGTGATGGAATTTTATAATAGCTGAATGCTAACAACTGCTTAAGCAAATTATCCAAATCTGCCCATCCAGCTCTAACAGCAAATATTACGTTTATTCAAACTTGTTTTATTGTGTTAACATCACATTTAAGTTACCAAGTCCTCAAGGGTTAAAAAAAAAGGCAATTAAAAAATATTACTTTGAATGACATCTATTTTGATATTTGAAACATGGAAAATCATCAACTCAAGATAAATTCCAACCTAATAAATGTTTTTCATTGATCAAGTTCATTTCTAAAAAGAATACTGCCCAGCATAATTATCTATGTTTCATATGTGATGCCTGACCCCTACTGTCATCACCAAATAAAAAATTGCCACAGCGCTTAAATTGCTCTCATCCTAGAGATCAACTTCTTCAAGCATATCAAATTATGTGGGTTTTAAAAACACAAAACATAATCATTGCCTGGGAATAGCTCCACTTTTTTTTTGCAACCCATACACTGCAACTGATATTTATATTTTTAAATGCTATTATTAAAAAAAACATTTACTGGGGACAAGATAAGATCACGTTTAGGTTTCTTTTACTGTTACTATATTTTTTAAATGGACAATCATAGTTATAAATCCAATAAGCCATTAATTTAATTAAAGATATAGAAATAAACAAAAGATAATATAAAATTGATCTGAAGAGTTTTATAGTCTGTCATTGTGAATCTTTCCTTCTTAATTTAGGATCCTGAATGGGTAAAGGTGAGTTTGGCTTGCATTATGATTTGGCTTGTAAAAATATAAACATTTATAATGGATTGCTTCAATGTGGGCAGTGCTCCTCAGATCTGTATCCCTAAAGCTATTAAATCCCACTCCAGTGTGTGGGGAGATGAAAGCAATGTGTGGGGACATGAAAGATCCCTGGAATAGGATTTATCAGTTTTATGTAGATTCATATACTCAATGAAATATATATCTATCTCTTTTCATTTGGTCCTCTTGACTATCACAATCGCCATCAATCATTTTATCACGAAAAGTATGATTATCACCCAGTAGGACAGTATCATCACAAAGTGTAACCACCACAAAGAAGTAGTACTGTCAAAACATGCATACCGGAGATTGAGATTGGCAGCATTCATAAAACATTGATTAACAAAATTTCAGCTGTTATTTTGCCAACACTTGTCCGGGGCCTGTGCATTTATTTAAAAAAAACTTTCATTGAGAAAATAGTTTGTGCCCTTCAATACAAATTATTTTAAATGTTGTCAGAAATCATAAAAAGTATTTGACAGACTTTATAGCATTATAAAGAACATATACCATACCTGCATGTGATCATGGATCATATACCATAGCAGCATGTGATCATGGAACATATACCATAGCTGCATGTGATCATGGAACATATAGCATAGCTGCATGTGATCATGGCTCATATAGCATAGCTGCATGTGATCATGGATACTTGTTTTTGCCAACCTAAAGTCAAAGAGGCTGAAAAAGTTTCATTTAGAATCAGTTTTGGTGGAGAATATCCATTGTTCATCTGTATGTTATTTTTATGATTTGTCGATGTATTTTGCTACTAATTTCTTAATACAATTTTCATATAATCTCTAATTAAATTTTTAATTTGTTAAAATCTTCTGTTAATTTCAAATGTTCACATTGTGTGGGTTTTTTACATTTACTTCATGCATTGCAAAATAAAAATGCAATTTTGGGCATCAACTGATATAGTGGGATGAACTATAGTGACTTCTACTGGGAATTCTTAATTATTTTATTAAATACTATAAACAAAACATTTATAATTTATTGAATAGAAAATGTATGGAATTCATTCTAAGTTTCAGATTTTTGACATACATTAAAACTTTACACAGACATAAAATTTGAAACTTTGCTTGGGCATTTGCAGTGCTTCTTTTATTTCTTTCTGTTATTGCTTAGCCTCCCGATATAGACTTGTGTGACATGATACAGTATGGTCTACTAATACACAGGCAGTTTGTGGAACCCATTGTATTGTCCAAACGGTTTTCAACTCAGTGGAATTAGTAAACCTTCAGAACTATGCTATATTGGTCATCTGTGAGAATACAATAACATTATGATTGAAAATAAGAATAGCTCTTCCCCTATCAGTTAAAGTTATTGAGTTATAGAAACTCAACTGGATATGTTTTGCCTTATAACACAACATGCCAATACCACTCAGTCATCTCAGGCACCTTTGAAATTACAGATTAAAAAATTGGCTATTGATCTGCCAGTGTGTGCGCACGTCAGCGTCTCCTAGCATCACCACAACAGTTGATTGATGATGACAATAGATTTATTGAAGATAACAGGAATCAGGGTGGAGTTAATGAAAGAAGGACATGTTGATCAGATATTGATCTTTATGGTAGAACTTCACATAGCAAGGCTTAACCCTTTTATTTGACTAAAGGATTTAAGTAAACTTCATGTTTCTAATATTACTTTTCGAAAATATAAATGTTAAAATATACTTTGGACCTCTTTGTCATTTTTATGAACTTATTTCCTTTTTACTAATACCATCACAATGCATTTTGTTATTCCATTTTTAAGAAAGAAGAAATATAAAATATTAAGTTGTTACTTTGTATAATTTTGAAATACAAATAATTGTATTATGAGAATATCATTAAACTGGAATTATTTTACTATTACAAACTTTTGATCCATTATTTACCTCTTTTCCATTACTTTTCCTTGATCACTTTTTTTTTTTTGAAGATCCACAATATAAATCCAACACATTTATGAAAATGCTCTAAATAACTTAATTCCCAGATGTTAAAAACTTTGCTTTGGTTGTTCAGTTAATTAATAGATACTAATTTGACAGTACAGTTTGTTTAGTTATATTTTAATGTTCCTCAAAATCCCAAGCACCAAAAATGACTTTGTATTTATGTACCTATTTTCTCCTCGATGCTGCATGTGAGCAGCAAATGATTGAGGACATGAAGACGCAAGTGAGTGAAATTGTACACAGTCAATTTTCAATCAACTTGTTTTATCTCAATCATCACATATCCCACAAAGTCAATGTAACATGCATACACTAAACTGGAATTTCATCACATTTTTCTAATTTGAAAACTCAGAATCGTAATGTGTTAATTTGGCTTTGTGTGTTGTTTTAAGAGAGGCATGAATATATCCTTTTTTGTTTAAATTTCATGTCACACACTGCATGCAAATTTTTCCGAAAGTTTATTTCCTAAATCTGGTTTTTTAGTATCTTAACATGACATGTTTGATTAGCAATTTAAGGCATTGCAATTTTGGGACTTTGAAAATATGTTTAAAAATATATGGTTCAAATGATTTCTGTTAGGCTTTTCAGGCTCTTAAATGCTTGTAAGCCATTTCAATTGAATTAGTCAAAGCTTTGATTAGTTTGACAGTTGGGTTTTATTTAGTTTGGTGTGGAAGGGATAAACTACTTAAAATCAATAACCCATCCCTACAGATAATGAAGTATAAAATTAGTTATATCATTCTTTTATTAAGATATAGCCCTATAGGCTATAATTGCCTTTAAGATAAGATAAGATAAGATTCTTTTATTGATCCAAATAAATGGAAATGTTTTTTGATTACATTATACATTTTCAGCACAAAAATAAAACAATTTGAACACTAGACATTTATAATAAATTATTTCAAACAGCCATTCAGTGAGTTCTCTTAGCAAAATCAGGGACTTATTTGTTCTCATTCAGATGTGTGACTTCAGAGGAAGCACACCGGTAAATTCGTACAGATTGGGGTACAAAAGAATTTTTATATCTGTCAGTCCTCGCCCTGATGGAAAGAATTCGTCCCGAACGGCCCGATCCTAAGTACCTAGGATGAAGAGGGTGGGATGTATCATCCAAAATGTGTTTAGTTTTGCAAAAACATCTTTCTTCAAATAGTTCTTCAAGTGAAAGATGTTTAGTTTGTGTTATGTTTCTAGCTTTCTTGATTAGTCGGTTTAAGCAGTGTTTAATATCAGACGTTGAATTCCCACACCAGCAGGTAATACTGAAATTAAGCAGGCTTCCAATAGTTGCACTGTAGAATAAGTTAACGACTTGCTTGTTTATGCCAAAATTGTACAGTTTTTTGAGGTAGAACAGTCTTTGGTTGAATTTCTTATACAGGATTTGGCCGTGCTCATGCCATTTTAGCTTATTATTAATGGTGACACCTAAGTACTTGTACGCCTCCACTTTCTCCCCATTTTGATTTTTTATGTTGAGATCTGTAATCAGGTGTTTCCCCCTCCTGAAATCAACAACCATTTCTTTTGTTTTTGAGACATTCAACTGGAGAAAATTTTCATCGCACCAATTGATAAAGCTTGTTACTAAGTTACGGTATAGGCCTTCTCCTTCAGATAATAAGCCAACAATCGTGGTATCATCAGCAAATTTTAAGATTGGAAGGGTGTTGCTTGAGCTTTGAATATCATTTGTATATATTGTATACAGTACAGGAGAGAGAACGCAGCCTTGTGGTGCCCCGGTGCTTATTTCTCTGGTTAGAGATACTTGGTTATTTACTTTGACATATTGTGGTCGATTTGTTAAAAAGTTCAGTATCCAAGCCTGAATATTTAAATTGACACCTAACGAGGAAAGTTTCTTTATCATAAAGTGTGGTTATAATGACTGCTGGTAATGGGACAATTCCTCATGTGCCCATACATCCATGGACCGATAACATACCAAATCAGAAATTGTTTGCAGTATATTATTACATAATATTTTTTAATAATGACAAACACATTTGCACACACTAAAATGACTTGAAGAGAAGTTTGTGTTAAACCTAAAATTTATAAGGCTACTAACTTCACTGTGAGAAATGATGAAATGTTTACCCGATCAGCATTTTCAAAACACTTTACCTCAGTATTTTTTTTTTTTTTAACCAGTCATGGATGGATAAATGTGGTTTTGGGGGTAGGGCATTTCAAATCTGATCCCTAATCTTTCTGAAGCCATTGTTAAGTAAGAATATAATAATTGTTAAAAAGGTTATAAACAACAACCCCCCCTCCCCCAATAATGTGTATCGCATGTTTATATTCATTATAACATGTTTATCACAAATGAAACAACATTTAAGCACATTTTTCATGGTGGCATGGCTATCCATGTTTTGGATACTCTCAATATTATTTCTTAATTCCAAACTATTTACGTATATATTTATCATTTGTGCTGTAATATTTAAATATATTATATCATAGTTTTAATAAGTGATAGAATTCAGCAGAAACACTGTTCAAAATGTTTAATCACCTCACCCAACATATTATGACTCCCCTTTCCTAGATTCAGGTTTATTTCATCACTGAACATGAGAATCTTCCAAAGGCTCATGCTTTTTTTTATCCTTAATAAAATAAAATTGACTTAATATGAATGTATGCATTTCATTCCACTATGATATAATTAGAAAAACTTACTTTTACTTTTGTGGCTTATTAATTTATGTACTCATTTTTTACGGGGGCTGGCTACTTCCACAGCTTGCTTAAGTAATTTTCTTGGTGATGTGGCTTCACTTTCAGCTTGTACAGAATTTCTCATGGAGTGCATTTTATTTATCTTTAAACTTAAAAGCAAACTTATTTTTAAAAAAAAAACATTTTCCATATAAGCAATAATTGGGATAATTTTTTAGAAAAAATTCTGAGCCTTTTTATGTCAACAAATCTGTCAATTTCAATTGATTGTCATTTATTTTATTCCATAGGATGATGATGTCCAATTTCAAACCTTTACACACAATAATGGAAGGGAGTTTATCTGTGCCAAGAGGGGAACTAAACTCTATTATCTTGATGACTGGCACTCTCATGTATGTCTTTGTTGTTAAGTGTTAATTATTTTCAATATGCTTTCCTTAAATAACTTGCAGATTAAAATAATAAGATAAGGGAGTTTTTGTTTTGTAAGATTATATCTAAGAAAACATTCTTAATTGTTTTCAAAAATTTGTTGTTAGACTAACCAGTTTGCCTGAGATTTATTTTCTTTTTTAAAAGTTTACAGAATCAGGATTGGAAATAATTGAAATTTTCTTTTCACAATTAGATTTATTTACCCGTGTATCAAGTTTAATATTGAAACACTCTATAGTGAACTGCCTAACTCATTGGACCCTTTTAAAATTATTAATTGTTATACTTAATCACTTTCTTATCTTCTCAGGATTGGCAGGTCTTCCCAGAACGCTGGCACAGTGAAGGCACTTTCCAAAATTTAGACCATAGTCAATACATTGTAAGTATATTCCCATGGTTTTTGTGTTGATGCTCAATTAAATAATAGTTACAGATAGCTTTAAAGCTAGTTTTATATTTGTGACATTATGACCAGAAATCCTAAAATATATTCTGATTTGTCTGTAATACCTTATAACAGTTTTAAAAGATTTTATTTCTATTATATATTAATATACTTATTTTTGTGCTCATGATTAAACAACACATCTGTTCCAAAAAAGCAATCCCACCAAGGTCAAGAACGTCAAGCATCAAGTGATAACAAGGCAGAGGATGACAGAGAAGGTCACCTCATGCACCCAAAGCGAGGCAGAGTGGAAACTTATCTTATGGAAGTAAACAAAAAAATTTATCATCTATTCAATTTCTTCTTCGGCTCAGGATTAGTCTAAAATCTTTACTTTAAATAGGAAACTCCTGGGTGCAACCATCAAATTCTTTTCATTCTGATGATGGTTCAGTGAAGTTTTTGTCAGGATCCAAGTTAGATTAAAATTTCTAGATCATAATGAATAAGATACATTTAAAAAAACTTTTAAAAAACTTGACCCCTAAAGAAATTACAGCAAGCTAAAAGTTTAGATTCTTCAAAGCCAAAATGATGTTGAAATCATCAAGGACTTGAACAGAGTCACTGTATGTAAAATTATTTATCCTTGTAAACAAGTTTAAATAACCTTGAAATAAATACAGTAAATATTCATTTAACTGATAAATTTATAGCTATTGATTTGATTACTGAAAATGATAACTCATTTATAATATATACTTTTAAAAAATTTCCTTTCATAGGCCTTCAATTTCAGTTACATAAATTTCCAAAAGAAATCCATCTTTTTTTTTTACAGGAGCGCCACTATGTTCACTTCTTTTTTGATCGTAGCACTGGGAAGTGGCTGCGTCTACCTATTGGCTGGGAGTTACATCACAGCTTGGTCAAACAAATGGTGGACCATGTAGAGGTAAGTACTGGGTCATAGAGAGGAAAATATAAGACTATGAAGGCAAAAAATCTAGATGTATAAGGATTTGTCCAACTTTTAAAATTTTTTTTGCCTTACTTCAGAACAATTAGGAATAGATTATTGTGTTAATAATTTTTTTTATTTAATCTTATGGGTGGCCATCGTGTTGTTACTTTTTGTTTAAGAAGAGTTTAGCAGCAAGTATTTCTGGGACTGGAACAAAAGGAATCAATCTTTTGAAATATTTTAATGATGTCAGGTGTCAATGAACTCTATATAAACAATAATAATGAGCATGTAACAAGCAGTTACTTTATTTCCTTCACTCACAGGAAGCCCTACCACATTGGAAAGACAGGGCAGATATACTAGCACTGTTAAGGGCCTGCAACTACAACCCTGATGAATGTATAGGGACTTACCTCCTCTTGGAGGGAGATGGTATGTATTTTAAAAACCACTAAATTATTTGGCCAATAAATAATAATCTATCTTATAAGGCTATTGTAGTGATCTAAAACTGTGTCATATGTACCTCTGGTGGTATCAGTTTTCCAGATGTTACAACAAAAAGTTATAACAAAAAGAAGTTAAGATATTCTGATATAATTATTAAATGTGAACAAGGTTTTATTTTGAAGTTTTAACTGAACATTTAAGCGATAAAACATTCCTAAAGTTTAAGAACCTTATGAATTGAACACAAACTGAAGATATTTTTAATTACACTTCAAATATTTTCATTTTGTTTTCTAAGAGAAAATTAAAAAGGGTGAGATTATAATGTACTTATTTTCTTAATTTCAGCCTCAGGTAGAGAGTCTAGAAAATTTTGTAATGTTAAAGAAATGTGTTTTTTGTGTGTTGAGCATTCATTAATAATTGCATGCTAGATTTTCTTTGTGTGTTCTATGAAAACTTCCCTTCCCCATACTTTGGCCCTTAACGCTTATAAAGTAATCCAATTTTTGTCCAATGCGTGATTAATTTTTAAAACTTTGATTCCATTTTGCAACACATCACTACCATGCTTGTACTCAACCTATAATACATCCTCTTATCATAAATTTAAAAAAAACTTTTTTATGCATCTGTAATTATCATCTTTACTATTGCATGATACATATGTTCACTCATCATATAAATCCTAATAATTTAGATTAATTTAATGAATGGTTTGTGATTTCATGTTTCTCTCTGCCTTGGGCACATTTTGTGACTGTCAGTTTCTATTTTGCTGTGAAAGAGGAATTTGAAAAAATTTCAAATGTGCATGACATTCAGATATGTGTTGTCTACAATATTTATTTATGTGTGCTGTGCAACCTAATTGTTTTTTGTTCCACTGATTTCCATATAATAAGAGTTTTGATTATAATAATGAGAGCAAAGGATCATGATGATGTGTTATTACTTGCCTATGTTTATTGTGTGCATGCGAAAGTTGTATTTTTGGATCTATCTAAATTAATCTACGGAGATGAAATAAATAATTGTTTATTTTTATTTTTTGCAATTGACACAAATAAAAGTTGGTGGGGTGGGGAGGACTTGACTTCTGTCATAAATAGGCCATAGGAAGAGTGGAATTGAATAAAAACACAGCAAAGTACATGGTCAATTGTTAACTGACATCAAGGGATTTTCTTTTTTCATATGCTTGATTTTGATATTGGCAAACCTTAAGAATCCTTGAACCTAAACCTTATTATAAAAAATTATGTCTTAAATTACTAATTAGTGCTAGAATTTTACCAAAATGTTTCATCTAATAGTTCAGTAGCTGGCCATAATTCAACTTCGTGTAATATTCTGCGTTTACATTCAATGTTTGAGATAACATCTTTCCCAAAAATGTGAGCGCCATTGTGCTTTAAAAAAAACATATTCTCATAGTAGAGAGAATGAAATTCATAATTTTTTATTTTAAAAATCCTCCTGGTCAAGCCTTGCTAAGAACCATATTATTTGCTGCCTGTGTATGGCATTTGTGCTTGCTTGAAATAATATCAGATTGGCCATAAAGGAGCAAATAAAAACTTTATAAAAAAATTTTTATTTATTCCTTTTTTGCTTATCAATATATTTGGCTTCAGCAGTTTCATATAATTAATACAAATTCTGTAAAGACAAAAAAAAATTACATCTTTATCCTTGTGGTGTTAACTCTTTTACTCAGGATAAAATAAACTTATTACAACAGTTAGCATAAAGCCTTAATACATTATTTCAACCACATGCAAAAAGAAATTATTTCCCTTTCAGTAACAATCTTTATTGAATGATTATTAAAAGAAATATTAATTACATTTACATTAAAGTAAGTGAGATGAAATTTAACTATTAAAATTTATAATTAATGTTTAATTAGAAAATATGTGTATACATTTTTTTTTAGCTTGCTTGTATAAAATAAATGGACTGGATTAACTTATTTCTGCCCCTTGCAGACTGGTTGTTGCCACAACGCACATCAAAGGACGCCAAACTGGACCAAAATAAGGACCAGCAGATAGATGAGCTGACACAAAGATTGAAGAAATTGGTGAGTTATCCTTGAAACTTCTTTGTCTTCTATATCTTAAGGGCCCACGATCAATGTATTGATCATTCTGGCTCCTATGTATGTAGAGGGGATTGGCAATGTTTCTGTGCCTGGTGTTGAAGAGGATATTTCATTTCCATTAACAATAGTTTACCTCAGATGACACTATTGGATCTATCTGACTAGGTAGGAGGCTTTTAGTGTGTTTTTTCTCCTTTCACTCTATGCATTTTAGGGCAACATCTTCATGCCTCCCTGTGGGCTTTGTATTTAATCCTTTATTGCCAACAATAATTTTTAGTTAAATATTTTAGTCAAACTCCTACTTTGTAAATATATCTTTCCAGGAAAAAGATTTAGCATCTGAAAAGAAGGCCAGGGAAGAGGCTGAAAGACAGGTAATTTTTATGGAAAATATAAATTGTATTTATAGGTCACAACCAAAGTGCATATATAGTTGTTGTTTTCTATTATGTATATAACAAAATTGTAACATCTGCATTGTTTAGAACTTATTTTATTTTTTATGTCCAGTTATCAGAGCTGGAAGAAAAATACAGCATGATAAGCGCAGATGCCACATCAGCACAGAGACAAGTGGAGGCCATGCAGTCAACTAGACCCAAGACCGCCAGACCTAAAACTCCTGTAAGTTCACGTTAAACTGTTTGGATGGTGGCCTTTCTCAGTGAACAAGTGTCGAAGAACACTACTACATAAATAACAACTTAAATCTTTGTTTACATTAAAAGTATTCTTCAGCCAACAAAAAAACACAGTAAACAGCTGAGTCAACTTCTGTTAAAAATTGCAGACTGCATCAACCGCATATTTTGATAGAAAATTACTTATGTTAAAAAACACATCATATAGCTTTCAAAACATGAAATTACTTAGTCTAAAATGTAACGAGTGGAAGCAGACTTTTACTGGCTGTTCTACTGATCACATCCATGGCAGAAGCCCTCTTTGATATATGACTGACCTGTGGAATGACTTCTATGATATCTGACTGACCCATGTATGAACTCTTTGATATGTGACTGACCCATGAAATGAACTCTGAAAGGGACAGCTCTATTTTTTCCTCTCCTAATAAACCATAAAATTGAATAAAAGAGAAAACATTTTTAAAACTTTTTATTAATTATTCTCTTGGTTGGTATTTATCCTCTTGGTTGGTAGTTCTTTTTAGCATTGCAACTCTCACCCAACGACATCCCAAAAATGGAATACCCACCCACTACTTAGAAAACTATCGGCAGCTGATCTGTTAGTCATTTAAAAATTTGGAATGTTTGCGGACTAAATGATAGGAACTTACAATATTTTACTCATGTAGATTTTTTATATCGTAACTCTAGATGGTAATGTGTAATTTAAAGAAATATTTTTATTTTTGCTGATCAGTTTCTCTCTATAACAATGCATAATAGCCAAGCTGTCATTGTCCATTATTTAAAATTGAGATGAATGACTTAAACATGTGTTCCATGAATGGTGTGGTTTAAAAAAAAATACTTTACCTCATTAAGAAGGAAAGCAGTTCTGGGATGGTCATATGAAAAAGGCTAACGCCGCTTACTTTTTATCCATATTTATCAATTTAGATCAAGTAAATGCAAGATTATACCCCATGTCTTCTGTCAGGTTGCGGTGGCTGCAGTCGGTGCAACAGAGCAAGATTTGGAGCAACTGAATTCACAGGTCAAGAGTCTCCACAAGTCACACGTCCGACTCAAGATTGATGTACAAAGGAACATAGGCTCAATCAATGCCATCATAGCAGAGGTAAGGTGTCTTTTAGTTTTAAGGACTCTGGGAGAAGCCTCAGGAGGCACTTGGTTACTGACCCCATCCCTAAATAAGAAGCGTGGTCGTTTTTTTTCTTCAAAATTTTAAAACATTTTCTTAGATTAGCATCCCCTTTAACAAACTACAATCAAATCTCAATATGTTAAACTCTGCTTTCTTATAGTAATTTTTTTGACTCCTGATATATATGTATTTTCATTCTAACTTTTAATAGAAGACAAAGGTGTTTTTTTTTAACTTCCGTCTTAAGTTTGTTGTTCTCCACTAAAGCAGCCCTCAATAAATAAATAGTGGTGTTACGCCCCTGTAGAGTTCAATGAATTTGAACAGGCTAGTGGTCAAGGGGAATCTGAAAAGGGGCTAACACAGTTAGATTTTAGGCACACTACGGGCTAAAATGAAGACAATCAATGCTCAATAAAAGTACTTTATTTCATGGAATAAAATATGAATAAAGATACAGAAAATCTGCATACAAAAAAAAAGTTTAAAATTCTTACACTAACAATCTCTAACTCTCAAAGTAATACTTGTTAACACAAGTCTAAATTACTGGAATAAAATTGAAATTTAATAAGTGTTGATTTTGATTACTGTTACTGCTAACTATAGTAGGGCCCTATCTAGTACTTAGCAAATGCCAGGGAAAGCTAGTCATGCATCATGTCTCTAGGAGCCTCTCTGTAGCTGATGGTGGGGAATACCACCAGTATTTATACAGATTCATTTTGGGTGGCTTAAATGTGTGCCAGGGTCAACTGGTATGCTGACAAGGTCAGGTCATTGGTGTAAAGAAACTAAACGGCACTACCACGTAACAGTGGAAACAAAATTGATGATGCCAACCACAGCTTAAAATCTGTTTAGTCTATCAATACGGGGCTGTACCTGCACAGCTAATCCTAATTGAAAATGACTGTAATTACTCACTGATCTCAGTGTTTCCATAAAAGTTCATTCTTGTCCCCTTTTTTTTTCTTCTTTTTTTAGAGACGCGTAATACATGTTTACAATTTATTGCACACATCTAAATTTTATTGTTGGTACTCAAAGAGTGTGCATAAATTAAAAAATAGAGAAATTGAGTAAAAGAGACAGAGAGATGTGATAATTATATTGGCTTTTTTGGTAAATTATTAGAGATCGTCCCGCGATGGCCGCCATCTTGGTTGAGACAACCAGTTAATTCTGTCACTAAATGTATCCCTCAACCTAACCAAAACGCTAATTTACTGCAACTATAATAAACACGCAAATGACCTCACGTGATGATCTCTAAGAATTAGCCGGCTTTTTGATTTGTATATTAGGCAATGAAAGCAGCTTCTGAACTGAAGAGTTCTGATGTTGGTTCCCGTCAAGAGTTAGAGGAAGTGAGGGCCTTGTATCAGAAAGAGGCCTTGCAGCGTCGACTCCTATACAATCAGGTAGAAAATTCATATTTTACACTGTATTTGTTTGTTTTTTTCCAATTCAGGTGTCTGACATTAAGTAAAATTTACCCCCAACAATACCCAAGGTGTTACTGAAAAGTAAAATTTACCATTTAAGAGAGTACTTTGCAATGAATTTGGAACTCTTTGAAAATATTTTAGTTTGTTGACATCTTCATAGCTCTGACCAAACCAAATAGTTTTGTTTTGTTGTTTTTTCCAGATGAAATACACAATTATTTGTATAATTTTTTTTATTTTTTTTTGAAATACCATTTGTCACACTTAGATTTTTGTTTCTTTTAACACGCAAAATTTTCCAGTGTATCTAAAAAATATATTTTTTTAAAACTAATTAATTTAATTAAAGATCTGTTACTATGTGAAAAATGTAAATAAAGGAATGGTACTTTTTTTTTAAAGAACTTTCCAGCTGGGGTGCATGCAGTTTTTCAGTTTATCAGATGAATTTTAGTGTAATTTTTAACTAATTTCGCCAATGCACATGCATAAATGTATTTGCATTCAGTTTAATAAACACTATAGTTTTCAAGAGACATAAATCCTGTTAATAAAAATGTAGTTTCCATTTATTAATTACCTGCTTAAACTCATTCCTAAAGTTTCAAGAGTTACGAGGTAACATCCGAGTCTTCTGTAGGCCTCGTCGAGACGAGCGTGCAAAGGTCTGCATCAGCTTCCCCTCAGACCAGGACATTATGGTGAACACACAGGAAGGAAACAGGAAAACATTTACCTTTGACAAAGTTTACACAACAGAAGCTTCACAAGAACAGGTCAGAACACATAGTTTGGGCGTTTAAACTCAATTATTATTTCAATACTAGTTTTTGTGAGTGTTTATTTATGTCGAATGGTGTGTGAAAATTTTGTAGTGTGAAGTAAATACAGGATCATCCAAAATTACAAATGGAAACGAATAGCCCATGGTTTTTAAGTTACAATTAATTACAGCAGTTATCTATCAAAGGAGAAGTATCAAATATTATTTTTTGGTGAACCTATTGGAATTTTCATTGCCCAGATTTTTGCTGATACTCAGCCAATAATTACATCCTGTGTTGATGGATACAACGTTTGCTTGCTGGCTTATGGACAAACTGGATCTGGGAAAACATTTACCATGATGGGACCGGATTCTAACCCTGGTATAAATATAAGGTGACTCAGTTTTGAATAAAAGTATGTTTATTTCTTTCGGTGTGCATGTATGGGTAACAAGTCAGGCTGCTGTGGAAATAATAGATAATTCAATAAGTTCTATGTTAATTAAAATATTGTTGTTAATTGAGTAACAGAGTAAAGCAGCCATTTGTTTCAAGTCTGAGCACAGGGTACAACAAAATCTCTACTTAGAGCTGAAGAAAGAAGATAATTTTCTATTTTCAGTCTTATGATTGGCTGTAGGCCCACCATTAATATAATTCCAGTCTTTAAATTTAGCTTTTTTTAGAGGAAGAGTTGATTAACTTTTGATGTGATTTTTTTATCAATAATGAAACAAGGTGTCCATGATATTATTTAATGATTTTCATAATTTACCCACAGGGCAATAACAGAGCTCCTGAATGTGTGCTCCCAAAGATCAGAGACAAAGAGATACAACTTGAAGGTGATTGATGCAAAGTTAGATGTAATCTCTAATCAGCTGAACTAATTCTTTATATATAAAAATCTTAAGCTACCCGATGTTTGTCGTAGTGGTAAAATCACTTGTTTTAAACAAACGTACATCTGCAAACAGGTTGGTTTCTATTTTCAATCAGACCACCACCAGTAACTTTAACCTAAATATGTCTGATGTCTCTCTAGGTGTCTATGGTTGAGATCTACAACGAGGCTGTTCAAGACTTGCTGTCTGACGATGTCAAGACCCTGGAGCTCAGCATGGTGGGCAACTCTGTCAAGATCCCAAACATTACAGAGATGACTGTTGACGAGGTCAAGGACATAAAGGGCATCATGAAGCTTGGTGACAGCAACAGGAAAACAGCTTCAACTAAAATGAACTCAACCAGGTGACCTAGATTGATATACCTTGCCCTACTTGTATCCGTGTCCTCCCCTCCCCCAGCTCTTTCCACACCTGTTTTCTGTGTAATCCTTTTTATCAAATTAGCTCAGGGTCTCCGAGCATGTACTCAAAATATTTTTAAACTAGAATATGAAATCAAGCAATGTCTATTTTCTATAGTGGAATCAGTAGTCTGAGGAAAAAAGACAATAAATTATAATTATCCAGAAATTTTTTAAAACATGCCTTCTGGAGTTTGAAACATTTTTACAGCTTAGACAAGCAGCTGACCACAGGGGACAAATGGTTTGCCCCATATGTGGGATAAAAGCTAACCAGTGCTAAATGTCAGAACATCATCGGTACCCATATTTCTCAGAGCTTCTGGCAATATAGGTCTTCTTAGTAGCAAAAAATTTTGTTAAGTATTTACTAAAAACATACATAGTTAATTTATTTCATGCCATTGATGGTTTTAAATAAAGTAATATTTTATTGTGTTACAAAAATAAGATTTTTGAGCCTGTCTGTTTTATTAAACCAGTCTTTAGGTACTATGACACTCACTTGTGCATACATTCTGTGCTCGTCGAAAAATTATGCAAAAACTTTTGTGGCAATCTAACATTCGGCTGGGCCATGATCTTTTTTATTTAATTATTTTTGCATTTCACGTCACAGTTTTCTAATAATAATTTACTTTGTCATTAGTGACGTAAAGCGCATAGTTTTCCAAACAGGGTGATATCATTTTTGCAGCATGGTGTAGTTTGTGATCGGCAACACATTTACTTTGATGTAACGGTATGTACTTAATTGCTAATTTTTTAAATTAAAATTCGTAAGTAATATTAGTTTGCTCAAATACTGCTTCATACTTCATTGATTCACAAACCGGAAAAAATGGACAATAATGAAAAGGTCCATTGTCACCAGAGTCACACCCAGCGCCCCCACCCCAACACCCTCACAAAAATTGGGGTATCACTAATGGCTCTTCTCAGTAATTTAACATAAAGATATTTTTATTGTTGTTTTTTTTAATTTAAATAAATAATTATATGAATAGGCCTAGTTATTGCCAGTAGTTATTAATTATAATTAATGAAATTAATGAATAATAAAACAATAATAAGCAGTGCTATTACTATTAAAAATACTATTATTTATTATTATTCCAATAAAGTATGCTAAACTTACTAGTACACTTCTAAGTGTAAACTTAATATTACAACTTTTTGTGAAAATTGTGTCACTCTATGACGATTGACTAGCTTAGAATTAGATAATATTATACATTGGCCGATAACACTTTTATTAAAAAACATCAAATAAATAAATAAGACTCAACATCATCATCATGGTAATTATATTTTTATTAGGACATAGGCATAGGAAACAAGTTACCTCAACAAATAGTTCTAATAAAATAAACAAAGAAATACATTTTAATAATCACATAACTTGAATAATATTAAAAAGAAACTAGAAATTATATAGAATCAGAATTATGATTAGATATTATTTCTAGGCTTCTTTCGGGCACACTAGAAAATTTTTATTTTCTTTTGCAGAATTCCTTCCATTGCCAATGAGCAATGTTTGGACCTGATTATAAAAGTGAGATTGTGGGACTCATCAACAAGACAAAGTCTGTAGATCAGTCTAACCAGAAAATATCAGGCAGAAAATCCTCATTACATTTTAATCTCATACTGGTGTCCTCTTACTCTTATTTAATATCATTATTATTGGTGATTTTATTTTTTAGTTTAATTAATTTTTTTATTATTTCATGCATTCAATTACAAAGACTTCTACTTCACTTATATTTCATAAATATTAGCATTGGTTTAAAATTGAACTGCAGCATATTTAATTAAAATACAATAAACACATTATTTTTTAAATAATTTTTTTGCCTCTAAAATTTATAATTTTTCTTTTCTGGATTTTTTTTTAACTACCCTCAAATAAAATTATCAAAAATAAAATGTCTTGATGTCATGTAAAATTTTTGTTATTCATTGTGTTGTATATTGCATTGAGAATGTCTCCTGAAAATTTGGTAGCATTATCTTTTAAATTTAAAAAGTTGTGGGCAAAATAGGCAGAAATTTAGAAAGTCTGTCACATTAACTAATTATAAAAGCTTTAAAATAGTTTAATTAGACACCAACAATTTGTTTCAATATAACGATATAAGGTAAACTTTAATAATAATTTGACAGAGTACAAAAGTATACGCTTCAGCACATGCCTTGATCATTACAACAAAAAAGACAAATAAGTATAAATTAAATTTACATAATATAAATATACAGATATCCTACCTAAAAAAGGGGGGGGGGGGAGAAAAAATAGGAGGGGGCGAAAAAAACAGACAGAAGCAAAGAAAAGAAAAGGGTAAAGGAAGTGATTGGAGCGAAATTGTAAAAACAAAACAGGAAAAAAGATCATTACAACAAAAAAGACAAATAAGTATAAATTAAATTTACATAATATAAATATACAGATATCCTACCTAAAAAAGGGGGGGGGGGGAGAAAAAATAGGAGTGGGCGAAAAAAACAGACAGAAGCAAAGTAAAGAAAAGTGTAAAGGAAGTGATTTGAGCGAAATTGTAAAAACCAAACAGGAAAAAGACATGGCAGCTGGGTAAAATTGTGGATTTGGTTTATTCCATATGGAGACAACGTACCAAATCGTGTTATTAATACATTCTTCATGAATATCCTATCTGTTGTGCTACCAGTAACTGCGATGTCTGAGATCCCATCATGGTTAGGGCTATTGAAATGTTTGGAGACCGGACAGAGAGCTTGTTTATTTATGTTATATAGGTGTTCTCTGAACCAGTCTCCAAGGCGACAACCTGTCTCTCTTACGTATACTTTACCGCACTTTTTGCAAATGATGGTGTAAATCACGTTGCAACTTGTGCAGGTAAAGCCATCTTTTATTTTGAATATTTCCATAGGGAAAATGATCTCGTCAACCTCAATCACTTAGGGGAATGTGTTGCAACTTTTGGTGCCTTTATGTGCTTTGATAGCAGGGAGGTGGCTTCTAACTAGCATGTCCCCAAGGCTCTTGTCCCTTTTAATGCCTTAATACTTAATATTTTCACAGTTAAATACAAAGATATATAAGGGGCTTAAAAAAATTCACAAAACAATTTGTAAATTCACTTCTATAATAGCTAGAAAGATTAAATTGATGTTTTTATAAAGCTTAAAGCCAGCCCTTTAAAAGGATATTTCTTTTATGGCAATCAGACAATATTTAAATTTTATGTCAAAATGCCTGCAGTCATGTTTGTAAATTGAAATGAAAATCTTCTTCTGCCCTCTAATCGTGTCATGTCTCTTCAGCTCCCGTTCTCACTTGGTGGTGATGATCACTGTAGAAGGGGAAGACAAAGTTACCGGAGCTGTGTCTCGAGGTGTGCTAACATTGTGCGACCTCGCCGGGTCGGAGAGGATTGGCAAGACAGAAGCCACAGGTCAAAGACTGGTCGAGGCGGCCGCCATTAACAAATCGTTATCTGCTCTTGGCCAGGTTGGTTGCAACTCTAGAAATTGAACATTTGGGTTAAACATGAGATTAAGGATTCTACTTCTTGCGATTATCAGGTTCAGGGAGAACTCTTTACATCTTGTTGATGAGGGTTTTTTTTTGTGGGTTAATTTGCGGGGGGGTGGGGGGGGGGGGGTGAACCCTCCAAGACTTAATCTTATCTGTGTTATATTGCTTGTGGACTTTGTTCATTAAGACTTTATTCTGTATTAGATTAATCTATTTAAACATTTCATTCAGAATCAATTATTGGCATTTGTCAATGTTTGGGATCAATGCTTTAAAAAAAAAAAAAAAAAAGTTATATCTGATGAATGCTGGTAATTTAAGCAGATCTAAATAACAAATTATGCTCTATTAAATAAAATAAGATTACAGATATGAAACTAAATATAATATGCTTTTCTTTTAATCAGTTGACTTTTAGATAAAAGGGAATTTAAATACTTAACCATTTTGTTCCAATATACTTGACAGGTGTTCTCTGCCCTCCGAGAGAGTCAACTTCATATTCCATACAGAAACTCTAAACTTACTCAAATACTACGGCCATGTTTAGGTGGTGATGCCAAAGTAAGTTTTAAAGATTATTTTGTTCTTTGAACTTTATCAAAATCATTAAACAGCTATTTGTCATTTAAAGACAAACTTAACCACTGCAGCATATTTGCTATCAAATGCTAATGATGTGATTTCTTTAAATTTTGTATCCCTTCCAACATTTATTTATGCCTAACTTCCATATGCCCTTGCGTGTAAGCAATGACTAAACAAGGAATTCCTTACACCTCTTAGTTGGAGGCTTGCCTCACCCATCTTTTTTTATGTAGAGATTTGGCTGATTCCCTGCATTCTATTAAAAATTAATTTAAAAAATAAATATACTTTGTGATAAGCTTTCTTTTGGCAAAAATTTTGTATGTACAACATTAAGTTAATGTTATTAATGCTGATAACCTGTGGCCATTTATAAAACTTATGAGCCTCGTTCCTTTCCACAAGGGGATGTATAAGAGTGTAACAAGTTTAAACCTTTTATATGCTAATAAAATATGTAAGATATTATTTTATACCGGTATTAAAATCATTATTTTGGTGGGATCATAATTTTTTGAAACCACAACTTGACAGAACTGAGATTCGGTTGCACGTGACATCAAATTTACAAGTAGATCTTTATGTTTGAATGACATCTTTATATTTCCAGGCCTGCTTGTTTGTCAATATAAGTCCAGAAATGAGCAACTCCCCAGAAACTTGCAATACCCTAGAGTTTGGCAGCAATGCTCGCCAGGTTGCACTTGGACAAGCCAAACAGAACATTCAGCGAAAACCTGGTGGATTTCCCCCAAGATAAAATGAAGATCCATGAGCAAAATTTTCTAACTTGAGCTGTGGGATTTGGTACCTATCAAAGATATATATCTGCAAGAGAGTCTTTCTATTCAACTATTTATTATTTAATAAGTTAATGGTTTATATTTTCAACACTTCAAAAGCATTTTTGACACTTATTTACTCTTGAAATAGTGAATGATGAATGGCATCTATAAATTGTATTTATTTTAAGGAGCTGTGAATGTTGGGATGTGTCCTAGCAAACATAAAACATTAAGCTTTGTATTTTTAAATTGTGCTTTGTATTTATTCTATGTTAGGTAAATGTTAACAATAAAGTATATTAGTATTTCATAATAAGCTAATGGTTTTGAAAATATACAGTTGCTTGATTTAATGTATTTAAATATTTTAAATAAAACTCAGTATTTTATTTTTATAGTTTTAAAAGTTACATATCCAAACTCCTAGAATATGAAAACTGCTGAGACAATCATTCTGTCATTATCATCTACTGGCTTGTGAGAACTTATGTCATTGTATTAACCCTCTTGAGACTTCTTAGACTTTCGGTGCCAAGAAGACAGAGAACTTTTCACAAGCCCTGCAGTTACTTTACAAAAGAATTTATACAAAATAAAGTAATTACTGTACAAACATAAAACTACACATATTTTTGTAGGAACAAATATGATCTTTATGAATCAAACAAAAATATTTTCTAACAAGCATGAATGATGCAATGTCAAAAACTGCATAATATATTCCACAAGGAGCGCTTTTGCTTTTTGTATATTTCAAGGTCATATATTTTTTAAGCATTTATGGGGGTTACTAGGTATATGAAAAATGGCTTTAAAATCACAGAGCATTGTAAACTATCAATGGAAGCTATCATTAAAATGGCAAGAAATGCTAGAAGCAATCTGAATAGCTGGTAAGCTCTAAGTTCATATTATTGGGCAGATGGATGGGCCATTCGTCTTTTTCCCCATTCGACTCTGGGTGAATAGATAGGCCTTGTCATCTCAAGAGGGTTAACCTATCCAAGATAAAATGCAGTTGTTAATTTGTTGTGTTGTTTTTGGTTATGATTTAAGGGATCAACTAAATTACTTGACAACAAACAGCTTCTGAATAACTTTGTTTTCCTTCAGAAAAATAAGGACTTGATCTACATATTTAAAGAATTGTTTAAAAATTGTTGTTTTTAGATTGACATAGTTTTTTTTAATATGAAACAATTTAATGTCACATTATTATGTTAATGAGAATGCTCTTTTTTATCAAATTTCAATTTATTTCCTAGTTGCCAAATTAAAATATTAAATGACTACAACTGACTAAATAGTGGAACAAGGTGTGTGGAAGCTTGAAATATTAAGACAGGACAATAATTAGAGAATGTTTTGGCATAGAGCCTTCTTAAGCAGACAGGATGATAAAGAGAGAACGTTTCTTTAGCAGACAGGACAATAAAGAGAGAGTCTATTACAAAAAAGAAGAAAAGAAAAAGGCTCATATTCTATTCATTCGGGAATAAAGATCGTTCTGGCATTAAACAACGTTCTGTCACAGGATTAGGACACACTAGTTTAAATGAACAAAAACATCTATTTACATAATTCTTGCAAACTATCAGACATATATCTGCTTTGCAGCAGGGACCTATGCCCAAGTTATTTATCACCCTTAATTATTTTGATCTTGTAAAAAATTGTTTACATTTTACGGCACAGTAACTGAGGAATTAAAGAATTTTATTGTTCACTGTCCATCATTTTCAGAATCAATTGTAAATTTAACATACTGACTTATAAATCAAAATGTCATCAAATGAACTATATCTTTCCACTAAGAACCAACAAAAATAAAACTGTGACACTTTGTGTTTATGACAAAAGCTAGAAATGCATAACAGACATTTTAAAGACACATTGGATATGGCTGTATGCTATATGCACTTTTTCCTTCACTGCAAACACAAGACCCAATTTAACACTTTAGGCTTCACTTTTCTAATGTCTGTTGAAGCAATCTTTCCATCTTTGACTGCTCTAGGACTAGAAAGGCTACCCTCAAAAATACTATCTTTCAAATGTATCTATCTATTTTATATGATATTTTAAATCTGTATATGATTATCACTCACTTCATCCCATTTTGTTGATATGATAATAAATTAACTCTATGTTTCAAATGCACTTTGGTGCAAAATTTAATGTTCTGTGTATAGCTGGTTTCATGTTTCACAATCTTAATATAATTAGCTGCTATCTGTGATATTTTATTTTTGTTATAAAACATGTCATTTTGCTCCACAGATTATTTGAAACCATTCATGTAAATAATTTATTAACTATTAACATTTTTTTTTAGTTAATCCATCTACTTTTGATTCTTTAAATTGATGTATTAAAATATATATTTTTATAAAAAAGATTAATAACTTTGAAGCAGACACATATAGCATTGTGTCCCATGCTATGGTACACCTGTAAAAATCAATTGATGTGGCCCAAGAGTTAACCAAAAAAAACACAATAAATTACTACATTTTTAGATACTCGAATAACTACCAATATTTTAACACTTTCAACATATTTTTTTAAATAAAAATAGAAAGGAATATCACTCAGGCTGCACTGCTCTTTCACACGGTTGATCATACTGCTACTTGGTTTTTATGTTTTAAATATTTCCTTTGAATAGTGGTAATCAGAGATATTACAAGTCTTAGTGGTAATACTAATAAAAAATCAACATTTAAACAAAATTATTATATCATGTTCAGTGAATTTTAAATAAGTGCAGAAATATTGTTTCATTTGTTTACTTCAAAATTGATTTTCTTTATCAACTTTTAATGCCTTAAAATTCTTTAAGGAAGTGGCAATATTTCTAATAGCAACATTTCTTACATCTCAACAGACAAGAAGTTAAGAGAACTTAAGTGAGGAAATTTATAAAACAAAAATCCCTCAGCTTTATTAACATAGAATTTCTAGCTATGCGAAAGAAAGGCTGTTATCTAGTACTGTGGGAAAAAATATTTTAGATGGGGTAAAGGATAAAATCATTGAAATTCCATGTCTAGTCACAGATGGAGATCTAAATCTTGTGGCCAAGAGTCTTAGTATTGTCATTCATCAAAGTGATTCTCTATATATATAATAATTTCTCCAGAAATTCATTATAACCACAATTTGCTCAAAGGCTAATTAAAAATGAAATGCTAATTATTTGGTTTTTACTTTTTTTACCTAAACATTTGTTGCAAATATTTCAACCTGTACCTTACTTTGATAATTTTTTAAGATATTTTGTGTCATACCTCCACATAATAATTGTTAGGACTCTCCCTGCTGTTGATATACTTTTATGTTCACAAACCAGATATTTAAATGTGCACTGTGATATTTCTTTTTTTACTGTATGTATTTTTAATACAAATTTACAAAATTCCAGATACAGTGTGGTATTGATACACATTAATTATTTTTTTTACTTCAAATAGTATTATGCATATGTTTTGATCTGTCCAATTGATTTATCATTAATTAAAATAATAATTTGCCCTCTAATTTTAAGCAAATTTCTTCAGAAATCATTGTTTTTCATCTTACAAAACCACACATTTAATAAATTAAAGAAAATGTATGTAAAATATTTATTTCTATCAGAGTTATTGAAATTTGATGTAAATACAGGTAAATCAATTTATATTTTTTGAAACAACCCCAATTCCTATTCTACAGACAATTTATTGTAAGTAAGGTAGCTATTAAGTCAAATGTATCTTCAAAGTTTTGTCCATTCTATCTTGAAATATTTATTTGCAAAAAACAAAAAGTCACTGAACACATGAACCATACTCAAACTCCACATAACCTACATGCAACAAAAAAAGACCATAATCAGAAAAATTTTGATATTTTTCAGGGACAAGCAAATCATTGTTTGCGCACAAAATAATGTATTTTAACTTCATTTTGTTGGTGTATTCATGTTAGTGAGTCAGTTTTAAATGCACCCAGTGGCATATCAATGAGCTGTGGAAAAAGGGAGGGAGTAGGGGTGGCATCTATTTAGGATAGTCTGAAACATTTGTTGAAGACACAAATATGCTAATTTAAAAAAAATAAAAGATGTCAATTTTTTTTATTCAAATGTCTTTTGGTCTATTAAATGTGAATAATTTGATAAACTGTGTCTTATTCTTAAGATTAATTTTTTTTAATGAAATTTTCCTATTAAATGTTTATTTTTGTTGTAAAAATATTAATTGTTGCCTAAAATAAAATAAAAATTAAGTATCATCTTTTTCTGTGTAGGAGAAAACTTCTGTTGGAAAAAAAACAACAAATGAAATAAACATAGTTTACCACAAAGCTATAAAATAGTTTTGCTATTTTTCTTTATAAATTATATGTGTACAAATTGAGGCAATTGGGGGGGGGGAGGGGGGGAATTCACCTCTGATATGGTTAGAACAAGGTGGAGGGGAATTAAATTCATCTTCAACGAAAGATGGCGAGGGGAGACAACAATTTGCTTTTAATTTAGAAAAGAAAAAAAAACGTTTGTTCCCCTAAATATTCCTATCTTCCCAAGATGGCTACTTTCGCAAGGCTGTAGGCTCTTTTCGCCCACTTACAAAGTAAGATGTTTGGAATACTTTTCAATTTTTTCAATAATGCATACATTTTATAGTATCTATTTGTTCGCCAGCAATATTCCCAGTGATGATTTCTTATAAAGCAGATTGCTAATAGTAACAACAGTAACAGGTCAGACCCAATCAAGCGGGTCGCACACGTTCTATTTATGAATCTGACTCGAGGAGTAACGGCTCTTGGTTTTGGGGTCGGCATACCAAAGAGCATTAGTCACGTTATGAATAGAGAGTATTTGAGAGAATATAGATCATGCCGTCCTTACAATTTTTTCCCCTCCTTAAATTGTGGAAAAATCCTTTAACCCTTTTACACCTTGACATAAGCAAAGTTATCCGATAGGGCATGGTAGTAGACGTAGATAGACGGTTCAGTAGTGAGTAGTATTGAAACAGGTAATCATGAATGAACTGCAGTGAGTGGATCAGTTAAGTAGGCCTATTCATAAACTATTTTATCTACTCTGTCAACTGTCCTTCAGTCTCCTGTCCTTCAAAAGAATGCATTCAATTTATTGCATATACCCCGTATAATTTATTTGGCCATTAACATGTATGTTATTATATAGCCAAGAAACATTAAACATTTAAAAAATAATTCTCTTATTACTGTACTAATTGATGGAGGCCAGCCTGGGATAAGACCAAGGCTTTTAAGGCCTAGAAATATTTATTTAATTTGTTTACTCTCTAGACTTACCTAACATTTAAACTTTCAGTACTATAAATAACCTGCCAAGATTTCTGTGAATTTTATTATTATAATATATATTATATGAATTTATATTTTGTAAAAATATAATTTACATATAATATATTTACATATTAAAGAATTTATACATTTTCCATTTACATAATATGAATATGATAGAGGCCTAAGCCAAAGCATATTTATTTTTCCAGCTGTAAATTGATTCGATTTCCCTTTTTAAGAATTCCATCTACAAGAATTGTACCGTGTATTTTTCACCCTATTAAACACATACATATAGACCTATTGATTACTTAAGTAACCTTAATTATTGTATAGGCTGTAAAGTATATAATATAGACCTACCCACAATAGGTAGTCCAAACTGGATAAAAAATGTGTTTGAGCTGAGGGTCATTTTTCACACAAAAAATGAACCCACTTCTAAGTATTAGTATAAGTGCTGCACAAATAAAATTTATATGTAAATCAAGTTTAAGTCTTTATCTGGTGAAATATGCTACTTTTGTATCTTTAACATGTGTTTGAAAGGGTATATAAATGACGTCACACGTCTATAGGGAAGGGGGGTCTTATTTTGTGACGGAGGGGGGGGGGAGGGGTTAAAGCAATTTGACGTCACATGAAAAGCGGAATATTATAGTAAAAACATTCACTAACAAATCCAAAATTCAGACTTTTTAACATAATTCTAAGGGTATATAAATGACGTCACACGTCTATAGGGAAGGGGGGTCTTATTTTGTGACGGAGGGGGGGGGGGAGGGGTGAAAGCAATTTGACGTCACATGAAAAGCGGAATATTATAGTAAAAACATTCACTAACAAATCCTAAATTCAGACTTTTTAACATAATTCTTTTATACAACAGTTGTAATTATTTTACTTTAAAACTAAGATCACTGAGAGACTCAGTGCAGATATGCGAGGTCTACAAAATGGCATCTGATCAAGCTACAGGATGTCATGGAGGAGGAGAATATGAGTGTAATGACATTGACAGTCATGAGAATGTATGTCAAAATGTGGAGACGGAAGTCATAGAATGAGGAAGTGGGCTGGAATGAAAAAATAGTTGACGGAGTGGGGGGATCTTAGTAAATGCCGTAGGTCATGGATTCTTAGCCTTTTTTCAATTTCCGTAAATTCAGCCCCACTCCGTCTTTAACATTTCCCACAACACCCCCTCCCCCCAACCATATAGATTATATTGTAATAAATTAAAAATATAAAATAAATAATTTAGCTATCGAAGTTTTATTTATTTAATTAACTTTCTATAAATAGGGGGAAATTACCAATACAAGTAATGCGCAAACAAAAGAAAAATGCTTACAGCTGCTAATCAAAATGCATTAACAAACTGATTTTTTTTAAAAGGCAGCAATGATAGCAATAGCAAATACAATTTTCTGGTCTTCTGCACCTCAGGACTCCAGGGGTGCTTTTACCCCTGATTAAGAACCACTGTTCTAGGGAAATATTTCTGACACATGTACAGTAATTTGATACACATGGGAGGTGAATTTCTTTAGGGTTTATAAAGCACAGAAATGGACAGAGGTATTTTTTTATGGGAGGGTTGGGGAGGGTTGCAGAGATTAGTGAGGTTATAATGGAGGGGGGGATCTAACATTTTGTGACGATAGGGGGAGGGGGTAAATTTAAACACAGGAAAAAATATTTATAGCAAAAGTTTCGAAGTTATCAGAAATGAAGTAAGATATCTTAAGGTGGTTAGGTGCAGCAAGCATTTGAAATTTTAGTTAATTGCATTTATGATAAAATAATTTTTTTTTTTTTTTAAACTTTCATGGTAATAATACATTCGGTGAAGTACCACAGCTTTGCAGTTTCACTAATTTCAAAAGGCATATATTCTCAAATAAATCTGAGTCACACACACAAAAATAAACTTGATTAAATTTCAGTTTGTGTCATTATATTGCATATAAATGTTTCTTGATGACATTAAGTCACAGTGCATATTATGCTGCCTAAAATGATCTTTCATTTGATATATGATATTTTATGCAAGTCAAATTTTTTCACAAATTCTTGAAATTGTGTATTATTTTCCCCTTTTTGTTAGGAAAATAAAAACGATTAAAAAGCATTCTTGTTTTTTTAACTAGGGAAAAAATAAACATTGGTTGCTAAAATCTGATTTTAAACCAATAATTGTATTTTATAATGCATTCCTCAAGTTAATTTTATTTTTTAAACATCCCTTTCTTTTTAAACTTAAAGCTTTATAGCATATCAATGTTGTGAAAATTGGATGGTCATTTGTTTTAGTACTACATCTAATATTTTGGTAGTTAATGTAAATTAGCTTTTTATTTTATTTTGCAGGGGGAAGAAGCTTCGGTTTCGATGTGATCAAAAGCCAACTTCTTATACAGCTTATAACGTGTGACCATAAAGTATCTAGTAAATTTCATCACCACCACTAGCTACGGCTCCTTGATTTTTTTTAGTTCCCTGCCTGGTCAAGATTAAAACGAGACAAGATGGCAGATGATCCAGGCCACCAGGCCATGTTATACTTTTTGGAAATTCTCATGTACAGCAATGCTCCAATGAGCATTAGCCAGCTAGCTGGCCGTTTTGGGAGCCGCAACTTCACCTCAGAAATGCGGCAGAGCGCCGGTGGAAATGAGGCCGGCCTCAAGAAGTTTCTTTTGAAGTACCCCTCCCTGTTTTCTGTAAATGGTAACCTCGTTAGCCTTAACGATGGTACTGCCCTTGGGGGAAATTTTCGAGAGTCAAGTCCTGCCTCTTCCTCTGGCCACACTTGTCTCCCTGATGTCTCTACAGAAACAGAGGCTGTCCAGTTCTTCAGAGGGAAGATTTTGAAGAAGGGAGATAAGTGGATGCCAGTGAAGAGTTTAGCCGGGCACCTTTCTCAAGCATTGCCCGAAATAAGAGAGTGTGTGGGTCCTCAGAATGAATTCCTCACTTTTTTGCTCAAGCACCCACTTATTTTCGAAGTAAAAGATGACAATGTATGCCTTAAGGACAACATCCGCTGCAATGCTGCTGATCCCGACTCCTCCTCAGAGCCACCAGTATTACCACCAACAACACCCAAGATAAAACGACGCCCAAAGTCCCAGGATGTATCTGACCTGCCAAAACCTGTCGGTGGTCGAACGGTCACTGTAGCTCCTGCACCAGCCAGTGCAGGTACCACAAAAGCTGGTCCAGTGACAATGACTGCCAATGAGTACAAGGCTGTAATGTTCATCAAGAGTATAATTCAGAAGAAAGGGGACATGAAAGTGAACAGCTTGTCGGGTCACTTCAGCCAGGCTCCGGAGAGTCTGCGTAACACCATAGGCTGGAGTAAACCAGAACTGCACCAATTTATTTCAGCTCATGATAATATTTTCACCATTGGGGAGGATGAGGTTGTTTCTGTAATAAAAAACACAAGGTTAAATGTCATCATAACTGGAAGTAGGCCACATGTGCAGACAAAACCATCAGTCAGTGGACGAAAAGGTCAGATCTTTCACGTGGCCAAGCTCTGGGGAATCATAGACCTCGGCATGCACGAACACGTCTTTATTGACAGAACAATTTTCGGCAAAAACATTGATGATTTAAACAAGCTCCTCAAGATAGGTGAGTGGGTATTCTTTGATGCTGTCCCTGCACCCAAAGGCAGTCGAGCTCGCTGGAAGGCCACAAAGGTATGGAAGGAAAATGAGTCTATAGAAGATCTGATTGAAAAAGTGGCCGCTAAACTGGACCTTCCCATTGATGGATTCCCCAGAGAGCCGCAGACTCCTCTAGGCAACATGAATGATGAAATCAGGAAAATCTACCCAGATCTGGATGACAGCACTTTTTCAAACACCACACCGCTCAATATAGGAGGCATCAAGTACTCATTCCAGGATGCTGCTCCAAGTGGCGCTGGTGTTGTCCCAGTGTGGAATTTTCACCATGTTGAATTGGAGGGCATGAAAGATGTTGATGAGTTGAATTTCAGTGATGATGAGGGAGATATTTCCCCTCAGGTCTCCATGGTTGCAGAAAGACAGTACATGAATCGTTCTGTGCTGATGGATAGTCCAAGAACACCTGCCAACAACAGCGATGGCTCTGGCGGCCTTAAAAATAGCATAGAGTTGGAAGGTGTGAGAAGATTTGTCACCATTGGTTGTCAGACCATTGTAACAGGTGATGTTTTAGCTACACAGCTATTTCATGAAGATATGTAAATATAAAAGATGATTTTTTTTTCTCCAAATGTTATCCTAAATAAAGATCAATTAATAGTTCTTTAGATGCATTACCTTTCCAATAACTGGATTATTAGAAATTAAATGTATCTAACCTTTATTACTTCATACAGTAGCTTGAAGTTAATATAAGTTATAATTTTGCTTTACAACTTAACATTTTAATCCTGTAAGTAATAAATCATGTCAGAATTATATTTTATTTTAGTTCATTTTAAAGATGTTTTAAAAAATGTCTCTTATACTTTGTAAAAAAAAATAAACAAACTCAAAATATTTCCCCCAAAACCTAATTTTAAAGCAGCAAAAAAATGTCTGAGATAATTAAGATAATTTATTTTTTGGAAAAGTTATTCTAAATACTGTGCTAAAAGATGCAAAATAATAACTTTTCAAAACTTAGCTTTGCACATGAATAATTGGCATCACAGATTTAAAAGCTTGTCTACCACTGGTCTAAAATTTAGATTCATCTTAAGCCTGAATAATACTAATAATAAACAAATGTTTAATTTAAATATACCGGTATCTAAAGAAATTGAATTTATGGTAGTTGTTTTGTCTTGCGAGAGGCCAAAATACACTTGTTTATCTTTGTAATGGTTCTAACTTAAATAATACAAAAATGACCATCTAAAGATATACTGTACCTTTTAAGGAGACCCAAGATTAGCTATGTAGCTGCTTATGTGTCTTAACTGTATGTTCCATTTAGCTAAACATTTACAATCCCAAACTTTGAAACTTACTTTTTTTGATTTGTAATTAAAACTGTATATGTCTTCAAATGTGCATGGTTGGCATTTCATCATGACATGAGCAGAAATATTGTTAATAATTGACTTATATAACAATATCCAGAGAGATGTTACACTAAATATTGAATAATTTATTATTTGGTACACTAATTAGTGACTGTGTTATAAATTTTTTTTTAAAGATCTATTTTACTTATACTTTTAAATTAAAATACAAAACTTGACACAAAATTTTTGTGACACAATTCTCAAAATGTGAATAATGTTTTTAACAGTAAGTAGCTAATTAATTTGGAGAGAAAAATATTACTTTGTTAGGATTTCTATGGCTTTTAGTACTATCTAAGTGTATTTTATGATATTGTGATTTTATTTAAATTTAAAGAATATCTGTAGTTAAATAAAATAAATAAATATTTGAAAGTTATATCCAACACTAATGTTCCATTAACAAAACTGTTTCATAATTTTATAAATTCTTTTATTGCAATTGGTGGAATAGTTTGCTAAATATCTGCTCTGGAAATACAAAATTGGTTGTCTTAAATTGCAAAGCATAAATTTTGTTATATCTAATCGTTTTCTTGACTTGACCAGTCCATTGATCACAATGAAGTGCTAAACATCACTGGCTCTTTGTTCAGTTAATTTATATTCATTTTTATTCATAAATGTTATCTCTTCAAAACATTTTCAAACCATTAATTCTAAAATATCATTTGTTTCTAACCTTCCTAAGTGTCCAAGTTGACACTGTTTTCTGCCATTAGTTTTTTCCGTGCTGTAACTGGTGAATTAAAAAATAAATTTAAAAAAAATAATTAACAGCTTATTGCTTAATATTTACAGGAAATAATTTTTTTCTTTGTGCTTATAGTCCAAGGATCAAATAATATTGAAATTCTTATGCCTTAATTTTTTTCTACAAGTCAAAATATGTAGCTAAATTCAAAAGGGAACACTATTTTAATGATTCACATAGATGTTACCAGCATATACCAGTGTATATATATATATATATATATATATATATATATATATATATATATATATATATATTATATATGTTCATACATCGCCAGACAAATCAGAGTATATTGTAGTATAAAATTAATAGCATCTTAATTGAATGAAATGCCCTTACATCATATTCAAAAAATTTTGAAAGAAGCGAGTCTTCCAATTTCTATGTCATATTTCTATTTTATTTGTACCGTACTATGTATGTGCATTATTTAAAATTATTTATTATCTATCATAAGAAAAAGCACAAAAAATATTGTTTATAAATGTTAAAATGAGAATAACATCCAAAGCTCAAGTCATTATGAATATGGTTTAGAGTATTCCAAGGACACCCCAAAATATTAACTGTGCTTTTAGAGAAAAGAAGGGAATGCAGTTATTCATTTAATTCTTAAAAGTAATACATTCTAGGACTATTTCAAAAGAATATGGTGTATAATGTTTTTACGGAATTCAAATTTTAACTTGAACATGCATGAATATATGCATCTATGTGCTGTCAACTGCGACATTCATATGCAGTTTTTATCAGGCTGCATAAATCTTTGTACTTTGTCAAATTTATTGTTCAGGAACATGAAATAAAAATACTTGTTGACTTAAGTAAGTCACTCCTTGTGACACTGATTGCAGGAGACATAAAATTTGATATTTTTTTTTTTAAATTATTTTTATTCAAAAATTTTTTTAATACATCTTGTTCTTTATAGAATTCAGAAGAATGAGTAGAAAAGACAAATTACCTTTCCAAAGTTTTAAAATATATAATAATTTAGCAAAATATGAAGTAAATGACCTATTAATTCCACTTAATTGTGAAAAATTTGATATTGAAAGTTATGTTCAATTATCAAAGTCCTTCTAATACCAAATTGTTTTTGTTTCCTTTTCAAGTATTTCTTCATAGATATTATTTTACATAGTAATGGTTATGGGTGTTAAACCAGTATTAGATTATTTCTATATTATATCACTGATCGAGCTAGTTGACAGAAGTTTAAGACAAACGCATCTGTACAGAACATTTGAAGCATTTTTTTTTTTATATGGCTTGAGTAGTTTTAATAGAGGTAACAAAAGGCTTGAATGTTTTATAATATTGTTTTATGAAAAGAAACCTTCACATTTGATTATTAACTCAAATGCTATAGCTTTGGTGCAATAAGCTGTATCATAATGTGGGTTTTATACATTTGAATAGTGAAAAACAAAAAGCAAAGTATAATATATTTTAACATAACCAAACATTTTATAAGACAGTTGAGTTTTTATTAATAAATGGTTTGGGGTGGGGGGAATAATAACTACAATGCTACATTTAAATGCTAAAATTGCTATTTTTATACCAGGTACCCACAAATTGAAAGAGAAAAAAATGTCTTTTTTTCTGTCTGAAACTCATAAAAATCGAAGTCTATTATTACTATTATAGGGGAGGGAAAATGGCTGTGAAAAGATTATTTTATAAAATATTCAAATTTGTCTTAGAATGTCTTCATAGATTTCTGTAACTGGTGGCATTTTTATATTTTGTAAATTATATGTTTCTATGTACGTAGCTTGTAAATAAATAAAAAACAATTATGTGTACTGTATTATTTTACAAGTTTCTAAGGATTTGCCTATGTAATTAGGGTACTGGCAGTTCTTTAAATAATGTGCCTTGTTACTGACAGTCAATTCTACCTCACAGACATGTGACAATGACTGCAACTAGAAAGAATCAATTGATTGCAAAAGCATATGGTACATTGGAAGAGACTATTTTGTTTGGCTGCAATGCCACAAAGAGGTTAAAGAAATAAAAGTTTGGTTAATTGTGTTGTGCATCAGAGATAGATGATTCAAAACAGTTTCGGTGGCAATGTACATTATTTTCTGTCTGGACCTCATCGGTTTTCAGTTTGTTACTGTTACACTCTTAGCAGTGAGCTACCAAAATACCAATATTTGATCAAGTTACACTTTTTCAACATTGCATTACTGCTGAAGCTGTTTGGTTTTTATGGTAATGAGATTTCGTTGTTGTTCAATTTGAAACTTGTACATTTATCCAGGAATGTTCTCAAACATAAGCATGATGCCAAATCCATGTACCTGCATATTTTTGCCCATGTTAAATTAAGGAAAGTTGGGGGGTATGGTTGTGCATGTACTGAAATAGATTGCAGTCCATTTTTAGTTGGCATAATAAAGTGAATATTTTACTTCCTCAATTTACTTAAATTTATAGTGTGTACTGAAGCCACGTACTTTAAGTTGTTTTAAGTATTCTTTTTTAGTTCCTTATAAATGTTCAGTTCTCAAGGCATTTTAGTTATGTTATTTTGTATTTTTTTGCTTACAATTATTAAAAACGTGTGTTTGTTATTAATTTGCCTTTTTATTTAACTTTGTGATCTTGATAACCTTAATCCCCCACTCAACTTATTCTAGAATTTGTATCTCATTAAAGGTACCGGTAAGCAAAAAGTATCCCTAACTTAGCTGAAAGAGCATATTTGTTATCCAGCTTAAAAGTAGGTTTTCCATTGTGGACAAAGTAGCCATGTGTAGTGATGAAACTGTTGATTGCATGAATGGAATATAACAATTGGATATAAAGAAGTTTATGCAAGTCATTAATAGGCAAAGGATCTCAAGTTTTTTATGTTTTGACCCAAGACTCAGGGTCATTTTGTTCAAACCAGTGGAATGTTTTGGGCTTGTACACTCTGTGAAAAAGGTAACGAGTATAAACAAATGGCTTCTTTACTAACTGTGGCTTAGAACAGCGGTTTTATTTAAACAATAAATGTGTCACATTGTTTCTATATTTACTTACTAATTATTGTGCAATATATTATTTCCTACTTCTTTGGTTTTTATTTATACCTCGTGTAATGTCTTTTTAAAAGTTTAAATGAACCAATATTACAATATCACTCTATAATTACTGTGCTATGCTAGAGTATATTTATAATAATTTATATGTATGATTCTCCAAGAAAGGAGTTGTATTGTTTAAATGGAATCAATACTTTAATGTTTTAAATTTTGTAGAAGTTAATCACAAAAAGCTATTCCAATTATTATTAATATTATTATTATTTAATTGAGAATTGTATGTCATCACACTCCTTGCAATACCAGTACTTGCTTCCCTTGCTATCCCTTTGTGATGTATTGGATGAAGAATTATTTTTAAGTTCAATTTTTTTAGAAGTCCTTTGCTTTTAAAAATGAAAAATTTGACCAATTTCCAAGTCAGAAAGCCATTGTTAAATATGAGTTAAGCAAAGTGAGCTCCATCTGCAACAAAAAAAACTCATTCAGGTTGCCATAATTAACCCTTTACAGTCCGACCCTATTCAGCCTTGTCTACTCCCAGCGCCCAAGCAAGGGGACATAACTCCATTTTAAATGAAGGTTCTTATCTATTTAATTTACAGAAAATAAACACTAGAAGCAAGAAAATAAAATAAAAAATACCTAAATACAAATAAATGATTTAAGCAAAAGTTAAGCCTAAAAACAGTTTCAGGGACCCTCCCACTTTGATTTGTGAAACATTCCCAGACCACTCATGATCTTGCTAATCAGTTGGACTGGAATTGATAAGTCCGTTGTCATCGATGTCTCTACTCTTACAATCTTCTTCACTTGAATCACTATTACTAGTAGTATCATTTAAATTAATGTCTCTATCAGATTCTTTACTATCCCTGCTAGACTCATGAAATAGTGAAGCTTCATTAGGCCCAAGTTCTTTCAAAATTGTATCCAACGCTTGGAAAGCCATTTTTTTCAGCGAAAAAAAATCACAACTTTTACAAAAAATAGTAGAAAATGAGCCCCTAAACAAACCGCGATCAAACTAGTATCAAAATAAATGCTGAAAACAAGGCTTTCTTCCCGTAGAACTATAAATAGTAATGTGCAATGGATTTCCGCTGTGCTAAGAACAAAAGTAAACAACTTCGAAACGGGCGGTTTGGCCGCAACAGACTGTAGCCTTAGGACAAAATCGGCGCATTTCAGGACTGTAAAGGGTTAAATATAAAATTTCTTACGTCTATGCATTTTGAAAAGTTGTGCAAGCCACTTTGAAATATACATTCTCTGTCATCATAATATCCCATGGTGCCATATGTATCATAACGATAACTGTCACTGTGCGATATTGTATCATAAAGCTTTGCTGTAATCCTTGCCTGCATGCTGAAAAGTCCTTGTATTTGCCCTCCCAACAACTTCCCATGCTGCAATTGTACATAAATCCATGTCATTTATTTAGTTGCTTCAAGATCTATTCATCAAATTTGTGGAATTTTGAATTTTTTTAATTAAAAAGAATAACTTAATGTGCACAATTCCTACTATTTAACTGTTATTTCTTTTAACTGTCTTTTAACTTAGGCTAATCTTGTAATAGACTATCTGTTTCAATTCTTAGTTTTTGTCTAATGAAGTCACTTAACATTCTCCACATTTATTTTGAGGAGTTTATAAAATATGTAACACTCTCTTAGTTGTTAGAAGCAATGTTTGTGAAACTCATATTTTCTTGATTGGGTATACATGTCCAAGTTTATATTTTTGTGATGCATACACGTTTGTAGTTTTGTGATGTGCTGCTTAAAAATCAATAAACTTCAAAACAATACAAGACCATAATTGGCTTTTTAATGTTAAATTGTAAAATAATTTATTTTTTTTCCAGTGTGAATATCACTAATATCAGAAACTCTTTATTAATTTTGTAATTTAATTCTGGTTGTACCGGTAATTATAATTTGTTAAATTTTTAAGCTCAACTGAAAACAAATATAATGTTTTGCTTCTGCTCTTCTATTACCAGGCATTTTATTTTAATATAGGTACCTACCGACAATGTATTAATTATTTTTTTTTATGTCAGACCTTACAGTACTGATATTTTAAATTTGTACATTATAATAGTCAAATGAATCAAATCATTCATGAGTGTGCAATAGGATAATTTAAGATATGTCTTCTTAAGTTATACTTACTTAACTTCTATTTATGTTATACCCGGTATCGGTACTAAAAATACCAGTAATAGTACCAAACCAAATAGAGGGTGAAAATATTTAGACTTTCTTTGAACTACCGGTACTTATTTCTTTTGAAATGAAACTGAAAAAGGAAATGCATGTATCGTATTTTATTTATTCAACATTTTCATATTAAGAGTAAATAACATCATTATGGTAAATATATTAGGAAGAAAGCTCACTTAAATATTTTCTTTAAACATGAAAATGAAGTTATTCTTAACATTATCCTTAAATAGGCCAAACTGTGGTTGTATATTTTGACATAATGCCTCATTACAAATATGAGTTTATACTATAATGGATGTCCATAACACTTTTAAAACACATTTAAATATTGATAAATTTGTATGGTACCAAAAATAACAAAAGTGAATTACCACAAAAAGAGATTGAAAATTTCTATTAAAACATTCAAGTTCAAGTCAATGAACTATAATTTATAATTACTATAGTAAGTTCAGTTATTCTTAATTCATTTCTTATTATTCATCCTTCAAAATTCATCCTTCAAAATAAGATGTTGCTTAATAATCTTTGATTAAAAATAATTAAGCTTGTTTTATTTTAATTTTGTAACATTTTCAAACACTCATCATAAAAAGAACTGGTTAAGTTAAACGGTTACCGGTAAGGCACTTACATTACATTAAAAATTAATTTCACATTAAATAAACGAAATAGTTTAAAATTTAATTAATAGTTTGTACAGGTACTTGAGGTATACAAGTTTAGGCACAAAAAAATATTTAAAAGTTAAGCTTGGTCAACACCATTAAATGATCAGAAGGGAACATTTCCTCCGGTAACACAGCATAGGCCAAGTTAATGCTATCCTTTAAAATCAAATAAAATGAAACACATAAGCCAAATATCACAAAGGACATCAACAACAGAAGTAACACTGGTGGAAGCTGACAGAGAAGGAGAAATCTGGATAAGTTGGCTTTGTACCTTCTTGGCACGGCTTTACACAGAAACAACTGTTTGTTGAACAAGCAGCACCTGTAACCTAGTATATCCCAGAGATCTTGTTGGCTGAACCTGGATGAGACCAAGAGTATTTTAACAATGGAGAAAAACACGGTTGACACGGCAGTGAAGAGTGGAACAGTAATCAAAATAAAAATGATAAATTTGTTGTTGCCGCATTCAGAACAGTCTGGAATGTTGCAGTTGTGTTGGTTCCCGCCAGTAACACAAACACCACAACGACAAGATCCGTGGGGTCCACAGTCTTGGAGACAAGAGTACCCTGTTTTCCCCACAAAGGCATCAAATGATGTTTTAATGATAGCTTTGGCTCTGCTTAGTAAGACAGAGAGGTAATAATGCCTCTTGTAGTCGACACCATCTCCCGCTGTCATCGTCAATGTCACTGTAAAATTCTGAGGCACAAGAATTCTGTCAGGTCTGCTCACAAGACCTGGCTCTGGCTGAAAAAGAAAAAAAAAGGGGCAAAAAACATATTATTGTGCAAATGTCCTGGTAAACAAAAATCAGAAAAAAGGGAATATTTCCCCCCAAAAAACTCAAAAGATCTCCACAACCTGTATATAAATTGGAAAAACGATAAACATAAAAATAAAAGGCAAAAATAATCACTTTCTAAACAATAAACAATGCCGTCCTTAGGTAAGCAACCTTTCGGCGCCCCCTTCCCTGTCCCTGTATGGCTCCCCTCTTTTTCAGATTATGACGTAGTCTATGGAGCACGTGTTATGATGCTATACATGTAGCTAACCATACGCATTTTAACATGCACATTAATTTAGACTGTATAGTTTTTCTACGTTACTTTGTTCCATTTCCACACCACCTTTGTGGGTCTCGACCCCAGAACCGAGGTTCACACTTCACTAAAATAAACTAAGGGAATTTAAATATTTATTGGGTGCCACAGGCTCCACTATGGCCAAGGCGCCCTGCGCAAGAGCACAGGTCGCACACCCTAAAGGCCGGCGTTGCAATAAATACAAAGAAATGTAAAGCTTACTGAAAAAATCCAAGATCTGAGTATTCTGAGAACACTACGTTCCCATGATAATTTAAAGCCATAAAGAGCTGTACAAAAAGAAATGGATATCACAGAGATGGATACATCACTTTAAGTAGGGGATGCTAAATGGCTCATATGGAGTAACCAATGTAGCCAACCAACACTAAATGAAACAAAAGATGCCATCTTCACCATAAAAAAAAAAACAAAGCTCCAGGAACAGACTTTAACACTTCAGAATTGACAAAACTAGGTGGAAACTAGCTACATAGATAAATACACGACCTCATATCCAGAATCTGGAAGGAGACTCATTATTAATCATGTCTCCTGTTCAACATAACATTAGAAAAAGTTATCAGATGCATATATGTGAGCACCAGCGGAACTATCACAAACTGATAAGAGAATGATGGATGGAGAATGCAGACAAACCAAGAGATATAGCAATTGTTCAACAATTTAAAAAGGCAGACTGAACTGAACAAGACACCTTGAGAGGATGCCGGATTGTAGAGCAGCAAAAGTGAACTACAGGCAGAAACGTAGAGGCAGACTGCTCATCGGTTGACTAAACTGAGATGGATAAATGGTGCTGAGGACTTAAAATACTTACATCAGCTGGGGGTCAGAACATGGAGGCGGAAAGCCATGAAACAATCCAAATGGATGTTTGAAGGATGTGGTGAGGCAGGCCGAAGCCTTTATGGCCTGTAGCACCACTGATGATAATGATATATTGATTTGTTTAAGATGAGTTGTAGGTCTGAGTCACACATATTTCTTTCTTTCAAACAAATAATTAACAAAAATTCTTTTTAAGAAAACCCCAATTGTAAATAATTTAACTATACAAAAATATTTTCTCAATTAACAAAAAAATAAACTTGATGTACCGGTATGTTGAATTCCGAAATTCCAATAATTTGATTGCAACTGAATAAATTTTTTTTAAATTTAAAGTTCTTATCCCTTGTTAAAAATGATAAATATTGGTATTGTGATGTTTGATGAATTTAACTAAACAGCAGTGTATTTCTTTCCAAATAATATTGACAGTACCATGTTGCTGAAAGTGAGACCGTTGGCCTTATCATTGTCCAGTGAGATCCATGCATCTTTTAGTGTGCCAAGAATAGTGCCAGCTGCTTGTTTACTTTTTATAAAACAGGTTGACTGGCGCTTGGATGTGAAAACATCCACTGGTCCTGGAAAGTCAGTGTAGGCATTCAGATCCCCGACTACTATTACATTGTTCAATTGACCTCCTGTAAAATAAAAAATATGCCTTTTCTGAACCTAGATTCTCATCAAACTCAAATTTCAAGTTAGTCATGGGAACTTGGGACACATTATATTATCTTTTACAGTATTGTATAATAATAATACAGTTGGAATTAATACTGCACTTTGTTTATTGTTTATTAATTCTTAAGGAACTATGTGTTTTAAAAGTATACATCAAATTAACCTGATTTGAAAATTCAAATTTCTATTGTTCCTGCAAATGTAATTTAACTTTTTTTTTAACTATTACAGACATAATGCACAGATCACCCGGAACTTTAGTGTTAGCTCTAAGTTGTATTGTAAATTTTTTAAAGAAGAAATAATTAGAAAAATAAAATGGTTACATTACATTACTTCATTCTTTCCTTGATGGACTAAAAAATGTTACGAGGTACCCTGGGACCAGTAATGGTTTTATTTAAAATGCTCAGTGTTACGATTCCCAAAATAAAAACTTAAATTACTATAGTTCGGATTTTTCATGGCTACTTATTTAACATTATTAAATAGCAATACTTACATTATGAATGAAGTAGTAAAAAAAATGTATTTTTTAGTATGATTTAAGTAAATTTTCTGCATCGTTTGTACACAATCTTGAATCTTTATTCCGAATTTAGAAACATTTTCAATCAGCTGTCTTTTTTTAGAGATACAAAACAAAAAAAAATAATAGACCTTCAACCTACTATGAATTAATTGCACTATGCTTTCAGCATTCTGACACTGCTGTTCTCTGTCATAAGAAAAATGAACGACAATGATGTTGATGATATCCATTTCATTTGGTCCCACTCTGACTTTGGCATGTATTGCAATTCTAGGATTTTTATCTATGTTTCCAGAAGTTGTCAGATTTACAATGCTGGATGACATAATCTGTTTCCGACTCAAGATGCCCAAACCTGCAGATGATTAGTTTATAGTTTCTTAGTGTTTGTTAAAAGAACAAATTTATGAAAACCAAAACCTAATAGATAACCAAAAAATTAATATGTGCTACTTTATTTTTACATGTCATTTTTTTGTTTTGGTGATAAGTCTTTCGGCTATATTAGTATATTATTCATTGATATGTAATGTCTACATCAAGTTTTCACATACCTGTACTATGTACCTCTAATTTCATTAATTTTTCAAGTCCTTTTAGCGTATGACTGAGGTGCAAAGCATTTAACATTAAGATATTATTCAGGGTGAAATACAGGGGACAGATGTGTTTTGTTAATGGGGTAATGATAGTACTGATAGACATTATCTTCATGCCGATTACCCAAAGATAATGAAAATATAACATTTCTTTTAAATAACTTACCTTCCTTGTTCCATCCATACCAGTATGAGTCTTTTGGTTTTAAGATGTGTCCTGCTGCTTTTGTTATTGCCCATTTGTATTCTGGTAGACTCTTGAACTCATCCAGCTGAGACTCTATTCGACCTGTTATTTCATTCTCAGTAACACGCACCTCTTGAAATACCACTATGTCAATATCATTTTCCTTTACCTGAAGCCAGTGGAAAATTTTTAATAAATAGAGATTATTTAGATTTTATTTCACACTTCACACTTTTTGTATGAGAATTGTAATGTTAATATGTGTTCTACTTCTAAATTTTCAGTTACGGTACATATGTAAATGTAATATTTAATTTAAAACAGGCTATAAATAAACAAGGATTTAGCAAGATTAAAAAGGTACGGTAACACTAATTGTAGAAAAACATTAATAACATTCAATTCTGATCCAAATTTCAGACATAATTTATTAAAAAACACATTACTTTTATTTCTCCCTCTCCACAAAATCTACTTCCTCAAATACCATATTGACTCTACCTTTACTAAATTGTTCAATGACTCACCAAGGTTATTCTAATTTGAAAATGTATATTTATTTAGCTTTTTAAGCATTATGCTAGTAACAGTGGAATAATTAGGGTTAGTGACCTTTTTATTATTTTGGATTTTTTAAAATAATTTAACTTTCATTTCAATTTCAATGAACTCAGTTAATTTTAAGCATGCAACTTTTTCTAATCGTCTTAAATATTGGCAATATCTCATTAAATGAATAAATTAAATACAGTAACCAACATCTTCTCGTTTTGACTGCTTAGAACACAATAAATTTAAATTAAATTAAAGTAGGTGTTTAAAAACATTATTTTAATGCCTCTTAATTTACAATGTACAACTCAGGCATCAGAGAAAAATGTGTGTATTTATTTAAAATAATCCTCATAATTAGTTTTAAAGAGAAGCCAGACAGGCCATGCATTTCGTGTGCTGGAAAAATAGTACTTGGCATGGGTACGATGTTGTTTTTTGACTCATTTGTCAACAAGGGTTAACTGGAATAGTCAGTAGTTGGTATCATTCTATCATAACCATGATGTACATTTCCTTTTGTTTAAAAATAGTATCTGTTCTTCACACATGAAGAGGAACAAGGCTATATAAACTATATTCGACTGTAAGTACTCAAGTGGCTTGAAAGTCCTATTTGCCTATTTGTGCCTAGAAGTGGAAAGCTTTCCCGATAAAAAAAATGCAGTAGGTATAATGTATACAATAACTACTCGCACCACGTGTCTAGTAAGATCTAGTTAAACTGGTGTCAAAAAAGGTAACTTCTAAAAGTAGATGACTGATGATTATATTGCAATCTGGGATCACTTAGTTTTGCAGACGTGCATTTACTATAAATATTAATTTATATTGAGTGGAGGTGCAGATCACATTAGGATTATCACAGTCTTTCACTGGTAAAAATATAGTTACTGGTGACATTTAATGTGGTTCAAACTCGAAGCATAAAATAAGATTACTTGAAATAAGAGTTAATTATTTTAATTACCGGTAATAAATGATGACATCATTTAAAAAACCTACCAAGTAACTTGAAATTTATTATTGAGGAAAAGCTGGTTTAAAAAAAATTAATTGATACCAGTATCCATTAAGCCTATCTCCCACTAATATATTATAGTATAGACTGATGAAGATTGAGGACTTTTATAGCGCTAGTGTCCATGATAACTATCACAAGCTGTAAGTGGGTCTTCTTCTATATCTTAAGGGCCCACGATCAATTTATTGACCATTTTGGCTCCTATGCATGTAGATGGGATTTGCAATGTTTCAGTTACTGGTGTTGATGAGGAAATCATGCACTAGGGGTTTGAAGGCTTGAGGCAATAGACACAAATGGGTCAATAGTATTTCTCCATCCATTCATTATTGGATGTAGAAACCGGGTTAAAACTAATACCGGTACCGGGTACCCGAAAATATACTTTTGAATTATTATTTTTTAATCGGGAAAACTACCAGAATGTATATATTTTCAACCCGGTTTCTTAAAATTGTAGTTGTGAGAGTGAAAGGTCTTTGCGTACAATCATATATAAAAGAAACCTCAAAATTGTACGTTGTATGCAAAAATCTTAATAGTAAACAGATCTGTTGCTGTGCACTTTCCTAATTATACCAGTACACAGAAAATTGCATATTTATTTTTATTATTTTGCTAAAATTAGAGATTACCCACAAAACTACTGTATGTGGCAAGAAATAATAATTTATTAGTCAATTTAAATGAGGTAATTTACCACTGCAGTGTCGGTTATGAAAAAATTAATTTCAGCACATGGCATTTAAATAATTCAGGACAAAATTTTTAAATATAAAAATTAAAACAATTTAATGTAAGAAGACAACATAACTAGAGATTATTCATAGTTGTCGTCGTCGCCCCCACCACCCCCCCCCCCCCCCCCCCCCCCCCCCCCCCTCAAAACCCATGGCCATAACAATGAACTTTTAAAAATATCTCCATGAAAAACATTAACTCATGCAAATATATGTCTTTTCATTTTGAGCGCATCCATCTGTGTGTGGACACCTGCATCATTTGGTCAACAAAATTTTGTTGATGGGATGGATCACAATGGAGTGTTTGAGTTTGTATATTCTGCCTGATCTGGTTTATTTTGGCATAAGCCATAAGCCCCCATCTGCCCATTTCAATGAGAGAGCCTGGAAGCATATATCTTAAATCTTTCTATGCACTCCTTCAAACCAAAAAAACAGGATTTTTTCATAACCGACGCTCAAGGTGTAGATTACCTTGCCTTATGAACATACAATGTCTGAGATGTGTTCAAGTCTTGTTCTCCAGTTAAACATTACATTCCATAAATTGCAGGTTCCAACAGTTACCGACAAACCATATACCGGTAAGTCATTCAATACATTTAGTAAAGGTATAAAATAATAAATGTGTGTCTTCCATTGAAATAGCATATCTCGATGACTTCTACATATATAAATATTAAACCCAAAAATACTGAATGCGTTTTGACATTTGACTTTGTCTTCTTGCAAATGTTGACTCTCTTGTACCATACACAAACACACCGGAAACGTTTCGCATTTTTACCATTGACTAAGTTTTTTAGATGTTTATTAAAATTCACGATAATCTAATTTTTTAATAAAAAGAATATACTATAATTTAATATAAATCTAAATCTTTCGGTTGAAAATCTCGTTAAGCTTTAGATCGAAAATCATTTTTAACTTCAGTTTGGTTTCGGTCGGAGCGATTTCTCAATAATAGTTATACTGAATCAATGAAAATAAAAGTGGTTTGAAAATATGTTCACCCTAATATTAGTAATATATGATTTATATGTATAATTTTTATTTTACACTACACGCATCATAAAAAATTTCTCAAGTTGTGGCGTACCGGTACCATTTAAAAGCAGCATGAGTGCGGCCCGCGAGTGTACAGCTTTGGTGGACTTACTTAAAATACCAGTATGAGAAAACCAAACACAGTGACCAGCTGACCGCCAATAATAATTGGACCTTTCTAGTAAAAATGAACAGAACAAATAAATGACCATTTTGGCGGGTGGGGGGGCGGGGGGGATGTTGTCCTCGGCAGAATGTAGGTACATGCATAACCGCCAATAATAATTGGACCTTTCTAGTAAAAATGAACAGAACAAATAAATGACCATTTTGGCGGGGGGGGGGGCGGGGGGGATGTTGTCCTCGGCAGAATGTAGGTACATGCATTCAACTTCTGCAATATTGTACCGATATAATCCATCGTACTGATCGTCCATTACTTTATTGTTCAAATCAACATTCCGGTAAATAATTCACGATGTGTGTGTCATTCATTAACGCTAATTACTACCGGACAAGATTCTTATAAAATACCAAAATTGGGTTATATTTCCTGTTTTACAGAAATAGAACTAGAACCGGGTCATTTTAAATATTAGTAGGATGATATAAATGTGTTGATTACAGTGGTTGGACATCAGCACATGATATTTCGAGAGTGTAAAAAAAAGAAAAAAAAGAAAACAGAAAAAAATTGGAAGGCTCCCAGAGTATTTGAAACTTTCATTAGAGAGGGTTGAGTTACACACAGTAAAAAAGAAAAAATCAAGAAACGTAGCAGAACAAAGTTGAAAGTGGTAGTGTCTAAAGTCACAGATAGTGGTTACAAGTCTTGCAGCAATCCTCTGGAACAAGTGTATGGTCCTAAAAAGGACCTGTTTAGTTGAGTGAAAGTAAAGAATGAAAAAAGAAGTTTATTTTATTCTTTCTTGGCAGCGGGCGCCTTCTTGGCAGCTTTTGGCTTTTTGGCTGCAGCTGGTTTCTTGGCAACCTTTGGTTTGGCAGCCGCTGGCTTCTTAGGGCTCTTTGGCTTCTTGGGCTTGGCAGCAGCGGGCTTCTTGGGAGATTTAGCCTTCTTGGGTGCAGCCGGCTTCTTGGCCTTTGGAGACTTGGGGGCTTTCTTGGCAGCGGCGGGCTTCTTGGGCTTGGCGGCTTTTGTGACCTTCTTCGGTGACTTGGGCTTTTTCTCAGCGACTTTCTTGACTTTGGGCTTCTTCTCAGCTTTCTCTCCCAGGCGGAAAGACCCAGCGGCGCCAGTGCCTTTGGACTGTTTAAGAGCGTCAGCCTTAACACCAGCCTTAAGGGCCGCCTTGAGGCGAGCGTTGATGGCGGTGGGATTGTCTCCTACTTTGTAGTTGGCGGTGATGTACTTGAGGATAGCCTGACGGGAGGAGCCACCACGTTCCTTCAATGCTGTAATAGCTGCAGCAATCATCACTTTGTATTGGGGATGAGAGGCGGCCGTCTTTGGCTTGGCAGAAGCGGCTTTCTTCTTGGGTGCCTTTACTTTTGCTGGGGCAGCAGCAGGTACGGGAGCGGCAACATCAGAGTCAGACATTCTGATTTTAGAATGATAACGGAGGCGATTGTAGATCAAAAGGAACGGTGCGCGACAAACGAGCGGTCTTGTGTGAATAACACTCTGTCGAGAAGCGTTCATTTATATAGGGTTGCGCGAACATATCGGAGAGCAACTACGTCACACACAGTTTCTGCTGGTTCGGCTGTCATGGATGCCGATGAAAATAACCATTTTTGTACTATGTGCTGTATTTGGAAATTAAAATGCAAATACACCGCAATGCACATACTTATCGCATTTATTTATTTAAATTCAAAATATGATGAAATTTTAATAAGTCTAAAATAATATGGTTTTCTAATACGAGTTGTTATCCGAATCGACTGTTATCCGGCAATTTTCTCACTGAATACTTATGATGACATTTTTAGAAAAATTAAAATAAATACATTTAAGCAATTTATCACAAATATTATGATTAAAATACATTAGAAAATCAAACGGCTTAAGTTTTTTTGCACAGCTTGTGTTGTATATCCCATGTTTGAACAGGAAAACAATTGTTTTTGACGATGGTAACAGCACATTTTCAATCTATTCAGACCACTTCTGGCCTACGACAAATATTTCATTTCATCAATCAACTCATAAAAGCCTAGAAAAGAATCAATTGAAAGTTTTATCATCATGATTTATTTGTGAATGCCTCGTCATTTTATTATAAATGACACGTAGTAGCTTATATTTTTAAAAATAATACAGCATTGTAAAGTTAGTGTGATCGTGATTTATGATTTATCATTCATGGCGGTCGAAGGGAAAGTAGCAACCGTTTTCGGTAGTCAAAAGCAGAATGCTTCATTTTAATAATAACAATTTGGTGTATATTTTTATAACTATGGATCAAATCATTTTTGAGAATTTTTTTAAAAACTCAAAATAAACCAAGCATATTGCTACTAAAACGTACTTGTTTAAAGTGTTTATTTGTTAGGAAGTAGTGGGTAGATGAGTGGAGAAAATGAGTCGCCATTTTTAAAATGCATCTTACTAAATCTTACAAATTAAAATGTAAAATAAACTCACTGCTTGTAATTCATAATCATTATTAAAAGCTTTTAACTTCTATTTAACTTGACTTAATTTATTTTTCAACATTTCTGTTACGATTTTTGTGTTTGTGGTTTATCTTGTTTGTATGCATAGACGCCTTAGAGTAGCCTACTCCATCTGTCTACCACCATTGATAGAGATTTACCAAATTTTATAACTCCTTAATTTTATTGGGCCTATTAAGTAAATGAAAAGATTTGAATTTTAGAAAAAATAATTATTGAAATGCTTTTTCCTCAATGTAAAGTGAAGACAATGAATTTTCTTTCTTCAAGCAGATCTTTTTCATTTTCTAATGGAATCTGGAGATAATAATTATTAATAATTAAGATCTTTTCCTGAACAGATTTAGTATCAGAAAGAAAAACATACGCATCTTTTAATATATCACATAAAACACTAAACGGGTTAGTTGTTGTATTTCTTTATTTATTATTATTATTTTTTTATTTTTTTTTAAAGAGTCAAATTATAAAGAAAATATTTAAGGAGTTGCAGGTAGGGGGGCATTGAGACACCAAATGTGCACATGGCACTCCCTTTAGTTAGTTATACTTTTATTCAGCTAACTTAAGTTTAGAAACTAAATTTAGAAAAATGTTATCATTATTTGTTTGTCCATTTTTTTGTATAGTAAAAGTACAAGAAATAATGCTTAATGATATAATAAGGAAAAAGTTGTGTCAACACCCCCCACCACAAACACACATTCACCTCCAGATTAAAGTACTTAAGACTTCTTATTTCTGTATTGTTATGGAAATGATTTTAATATACAATTTTAGATTATTAATACACGAAGATACAATAGTTATCGGGTATCAAAAAAATATCATATATTTAAAGTGAAGACAATGAATTTTCTTTCTTCAAGCAGATCTTTTTCATTTTCTAATGGAATCTGGAGATAATAATTATTAATAATTAAGATCTTTTCCTGAACTGATTTAGTATCAGAAAGAAAAACATACGCATCTTTTAATATATCACATAAAACACTAAACGGGTTAGTTGTTGTATTTCTTTTGTGTTTCTTTATTTAATATTATTTTTTTAAATTTTTTTTTAAAGAGTCAAATTATAAAGAAAATATTTAAGGAGTTGCAGGTAGGGGCGCATTGAGACACCAAATGTGCACATGGCACTCCCTTTAGTTAGTTATACTTTTATTCAGCTAACTTAAGTTTAGAAACTAAATTTAGAAAAATGTTATCATTATTTGTTTGTCCATTTTTTTGTATAGTAAAAGTACAAGAAATAATGCTTAATGATATAATAAGGAAAAAGTTGTGTCAACACCCCCCACCACAAACACACATTCACCTCCAGATTAAAGTACTTAAGACTTCTTATTTCTGTATTGTTATGGAAATGATTTTAATATACAATTTTAGATTATTAATACACGAAGATACAATAGTTATCGGGTATCAAAAAAATATCATATATTTAAATCCTTTATATTAACATCTCTTTTGATCATGGGTGGCTAACTGGCGGACTGGTAAAAAATTTCAGACGGCTAATTGACCCACTTCCCGTCAAACTATCGAGCTGAAGTTTATCACATGGACTCGCTACAAATGACAACACGTTCTATCAAATTTTCAGCCCCACCGTTCAAAGCCCAAATCCGAAAAATCCGTTTTTCCTGTTTTTCATGGGGAAGATACAATGAAATTCCAGATAACTGCGCTAAATGGGGTTCTTTTTAAAAGAAAATATCGCAAGTGCGTTTGGTGCGTAATATTTTATTTTATTTTTCTAAAATTTTTGGTGAAATATATCTGCTTTGTAAAGGCAGGTGGAAATTAAAATATTAACATAGTTCAGGGGCTTGAATAAATGTGCGGTTGCGAGCCGGAAAAGGGATAATATTTTATTTTATTTTTCTAAAATTTTTGGTGAAATATATCTGCTTTGTAAAGGCAGGTGGAAATTAAAATATTAACATAGTTCAGGGGCTTGAATAAATGTGCGGTTGCGAGCCGGAAAAGGGGGGGGGGTGGGATACTAATTGTTATTCTCATAGAGTACGTTACTTTTATGCATTTGAGTCAAATTTTTAGCTCCACCCTCTA